CTCGCCTTCCTTCCTCTTCTCCTTATAGACGGGTTTAATTTCTTGTGACATCGAGCTGGATGTTTGCAGCCTGTGGAGGCTCACTATGTCCGCTCCTCTCCATTGAAACCATCCTGTGATCATCACCCACTCTTTTCCGACTAACTGGCAGTATCTGCGGGATGGCTCTGCCTAAAGATAAAACAGCGTTTCAGCAGATATGAAGAACAGCATGTCTGCTAACTGAACCTGGAGATGCTTTGAGCAGCATGTGAAGAAAAAGCAAACAGCTGATTGGTTCTTTAGGAGAAAAACACTCCAAGCTGCACAGAACCTTTCCAGCGGAGATGATTGGGATTCTCCCAGGCAGCGGGACAAAATCCAGTCGATGCTGTCCTGCAGTCAGCAGCAGGCTGCAGCTTCCGGCCTCATTAGCATGCTGCAGCTCCCTCTCTGAGCCCAGACCAGAACCATGCTGCTTCTTGCTCTGCAGGAGAGGCCTCAGATGATGTGTTTACTGACTGCTGCAGCAAACAGATCCTCAAGTCCTTTAGGACGTTAAAGAGTGAGGAAACAGCACCAGTTGTATACTGGTTCTGATCAGATTTTCCTCTAATTCTAATTTATCTTACTTAACCAGACTTCAGGTGATTTCTGACCTGATCGTTCTTTGGTCCTGGTTTTGATTTTCCTCCAGGCTTATTTTCCTCTGCATCCTAATTTTCCTCATTCTGATTCCGATTTTCCTCTGGTTCTGATGTAAATGTCCTTCTGGTTCTGTCCGATTTTCTTCTTATTTTGATCCATATTTCCTCCTGTTTCTGGGTCAGATTTAGTTCTGGTTCAGGGCCGGGTTTTCTTTTTGATCATAATTCTCTCTGGTTCAGATCTTTCTGCTCTGCACCGATCCAGACAGGAAGGTGTGTTTAAAGAGAGGAGGTGAGAGGCTCCTGGAAGGGTTGGGGGGTGGTGGTGGGGGGGTTGAGTTACAGGAAGCAGCAGAGGCCAGCAGGGACACTGCTGAATTATTGATCCGCTCCATAGTTGAGCTTTTATTTTTCTTTCTGAGGACTGGAGCTGCTTTCACCTGAGATTTCCCATGAGGCCACAGTCCCATGGTCACCACGGAAACAAAACTGACAAGGACAAAGATGAGTTCAATGGACTCACATGACTCTAAGCAAGAAAATACCTCAACCCCCTGCATTCCTGTCTCTGCTGTAACCCCAAAGATCTGCTTTTACTACACCTTTTTATCGTAATCCCAACTGTCCACTGTACTTACACCTCTCTGTTTTAATCCCACCAGTTTCATATAATCCCACCTATTTGATGTAATTATTCTTGCTTTCTGTAATCTCACCCATTTTCTGCAATTAAACCCGTCTGCTATAACCATGCCTCTCTGCTGTAATCCCACCTGTGATCTGTATTCACACCTCTATGATGTAATCTCACCAGCCTGCTAAATGCATCTGTTAGTTGTAATCCCACATGTGTCCTCCAATCCCATGAATCACTTCATCCAACCTGCCTGCTATAACAAAGCCTGCATGCTACATCTGTCAGTTGTAATCCCTTATGCATTCTTTAACCGCACCTGTCTGCTACAATCACATTCTAACGGCTGTAATCCCACCTACATGATGTAATCCCACATGTTTTTTATAACCAAACTTGCATGCTTCATTACCCCAATAAGTTCAAATAGCAATCTGGTTGCTGTAATCCCACCTGTCTGATGTAAACTGTTGTATACCTTATATCTCCCCAGTAAACCAGGTTATGCTTTTATCCACAGTGGATTATATGAACTCTTTTTTTCTATTATACTTTATATACATGCTTAATTTGACTCTTTAAGGACAAAGCTTGGTGAATCTAACTTGAGAAAGTGAAAATCCTGCCTGATTTTCCTTCATCCTGTTCACTCAACCAGAGGACTTTAAACCAGGGTTTATTTACCCTGGTCATCAGGGCTCACTGTCTTTCATGTTTCTCTACTCAAGCACACCTGATTCAAATGATTTCTTTACCTCCTCTGCAGCCATCAAATGCTGTGAAAGCATATTGCACTTTGGATCAAGTGTTTCATAGAATGCAAAACCGAGTTTCCATTGTCATAGTGTGAAACGGACGTACAGAGAAGTTCAAACCCCATCGACACCTCCTTTCTCTGCAAATCTCAAAATTCTAAACTTCCACCATAAAACGGGCGAATCCAAACGAATAACCAAGGGGGTTATGAAGTGTCGACTGCTGGGCCGCTGACTGGACTTCAGCAGAGAGCCATGAGCCGCCCGTCCTCAGCCGGCAGAACAGACATCTCAAGTCTCCCGGAAGTCTCCTTGATATAGATAGTTGTTCACAGATTGCCGCAAGTTGAATAAATTGTCCCGGATTTTAGACAATGCGAGGCGGTGTTTTTTTAATGCAAGTGACAGCGTGCAGGCAATACAATAATCCGTGCATCATGTGCAGATTAGAACTACTTCGAGAGAGCGAGTGGGGTGAGAGCGGGGTGTGGGGAGGAGATTGCTTGTGAAACCTGTGCGTATCTGTCTTTATAGTCACCTAGTTACAACTCAATGCTGTGCATCCTGTGAAATAAGTTGAATCCAGTAAAAAACGAAAATATAAGACTCATTTTACGACGGCGGGGGGGTGGCATTGCACTGTAGTCGACCAAAATCCCTGACGATTTTGAAATTCCTTTTTTTAGGTATGAAAAGGAGCAGTGTATTCTCATTATTAGTTCGTATGAAATCGTACGAAAAGTTATGCACTGTAATACGTTTTTTTTCATCGCATTTCGTCGTATTTTTACACCTTGCCTCAAGACAAGATATCCTTGCGCATGCGCATCTTACGCACCATTAAATAACATAGAATTTAACATACAATTAACCCTAACCCTGACCCTAACCCTAAGATACAAAACAGCAAGCAACCTAGTTAGAGACCTGAAGAAGTGATTATTGCACTGTTTTTCCCATTTTTACGTCCGTCTGCGGATCTGCTTTTTTCGTCTGTCTGGCTGCGCATGCGCACTAATCTGTATTTTCAAGGAAAAATGCCCAAAACGTACGAAATACTGTGCATGACTTTTCGTACAATTTCATACGAACTGATAATGAGAATATGTTGAAAGGAGGACGTCTGGTCACCCTACCATATCAACAATCTCGATTTTTCAGTGAGTGTGTGCTTGTTGCTATGATGCGTCGTTGCTCAGCAGCTTCGCTCGTTGTAAACCAACCAATCAGCACGCAGTTCATCTAGACATTCATGATCAAACCATAAAAAGAAGTAAACCTGTCGCTTCTTTTAGGGTCTATAACCAGGCTTGCACTAGGGCTCATACTGTAGAACAGCAAATATGCTATTTTCAGCCCAACCAATGTTACACACCCTATTCAGAGACCTTAACGGCCAGCACCAAACACCCTATATAATCATTCTATGACCCCTTTAAGAAACCCTGGTTCAAACCAGTTTCAGACCCCAATCCCGCAGTGCTGTTTTCTAGCTGCTACTTCTAATTGTGATCTTTTTTCTTATTCATTCAAATAAAATGACTAAACTGCCTCACAAGCAAGCATTTAGGCTCTGCAGAGTTCCATCAAAGAGCTCCTATCGGAGTCAGGTCTGGTGAAACAACAGTGCATCAAAAATTTGTGAAAACTGTATTTCTTTTGTGCAAAATAACATTCAAAGGTGTTTCTTATTCCAACTGGAAAGGAAATAATTGAACTTTATTGATCTCACATTGGAGAAATGGATCTCTGCATTTAACCCATCCTCTTGGGGAGCAGTGTGGGTTTAAGGGTCTTGCTCAGAGACCCAGACTGCAGGTTGTGGGGATCGAACTGGGTACTTGCATCCTTCTCAGAGCACAAGCACACTGCTCTATCCACAAGGCCAGGGGTCTGTAAGCTGTGGCTCTAGAGCCACTTGTGGCTCTTTGGACCATGTGTCTTAATAGAGGCTATAAAGATTAAAGAACAAAGTAATATAGGAGTCTTATATTACTTATATATTATATAATAAAGGTGCGTTAGTGGTTTTTATAAAGAATATTTTAACAGAATTTTAACAATAAAATGACATATGAAATATGTTTATAAGCCATTTTCAATTACATGTTTTATCTTTATTTGTTTTAAAAGCTAAAAATAACAATAAACGTTTAGTTGTTTAAGATGGGAACAGATTCCCCACAACAGATATTTAACAAAAATAATGCGTTTAATCATGTTATATTTTGCTTTTAGCTGGACAGATTTGGGGGAAAATGGCTCTTTGAAAATGAAAAGTTGCACTAGGCAAACACTGTGTTGAAATAAATAGTTTAAGAATGTTTCTGGATGTTTTATTTACTTAAATGAGGTTTCTATGTTGGTTACTTCAATGCAGATGTCCAGCATTGCCACCCTGCATCTCAAATTCCTCCACTCCCTGCCTGAATTTATCACACTTAATCCAGTTGTTTCACCTGAACCTCTGGAATTAGAATAGAATAGAATAGTGCTTTTTTTATTAGAGCAGGAACAGTTGCTGAATCATGAAAAGGGTAAAGTAGTTTGATACAGTTCTGTAGGGAGGACCGGTGTTATGGCAAGCCGTTTTAACATAAATTCGGTTGTACCGCCTTTACATTCAAGATATCTCATATTGTTTTATGACTAGACGTTTTAGAGATTTAAGATATTTCTAATTATATTTTGACTAGTCAAAATACCTATTCGGGATATCTCTAATTACATTCTGACTAGTCGAAATGAAGTCAGATTTACCATTAACCTGTATATCTATATTCATTTATCATAAAATATAAAGATATCTCGATATTAGTTTTGACTAGTCATAATTCTGGTTAAAGATATCTCAAATGCCATCATAATTCAAGATATCTTAAAGAAGCGGATTTGAAACTTTGGATGACGTCATTCCAGGAGGAAAACAGGGTTTTGGATTCTTCGCTTTTATTCTGTTTTATTGTGAAGGGTCGGCTTCCGGTTGCGCAGCCCACCTGCGGCAGCATTGACTCAGCTCTGATGCCAGTCGGCATGACAACGCGCTCTCCAGGGCAAACCGGGAACAGCTGATGGAGGAAGAGGATGGCAGCTCAAGATGGCCAGTAACGGAACCAACGCTGAAAACGGAGCGGACGTTCGCCCCGGGATCAGGAGCGCCACCGGTTCGGTGCAGGTCCCGGCCATGGAGAGAGCCCGGCCTATCACGGTGAAGGTGTCCGCAGTGAGCCTGGCGCTCAGCTCGCTGTCCTTGCTGCTGCTGGTCACCGCCATCTCCACGGATCACTGGTACCAGACTGACACGCGCAGGCACAAGCAGAACTGCGACGGTTCCGACTCCAACGACCAGAAGAACCGGGAGATGCCCATCTACCACCTGCCGCTGGTGGACAGCGGCGGCGCCGCGGCCCGGCAGAGGGACGTGGCGCTTATGAAGCCAGTGCATGTGGGCAGCAGGGAGGAGGAGCTGCTGGAGAACTGGAGGGCCATCCTGGGGATGGGGATCCTGGAGACGGAGTGCGGCAGGCCGCTGTTTTCTACCCACTCCGGCCTGTGGAGGAAGTGCTACTTCAAGGGAATGGACCCGGACATCGACAAGCTGATCGATCGGGGTCCGCGGACACACACACACGCACACACACACACCAGATATACACACCCAGCCCTCTGTTTATATAATTTATCTGATCTGAGGAAGGAAGGTTGGATGGATGGATGAATGAATGGATGGATGGATGGATGAATGAATGAATGGATGGATGGATGGATGGATGAATGAATGAATGAATGAATGAATGAATGAATGAATGAACGAACGGATGGATGGATGGATGGATGGATGGATGGATGGATGGATGAATGCATGCGTGCATGCATGCATGGATGTATGAATGGATGGGTGGACAGATGGATGCATGAATGAATGAATGAATGAATGAATGAATGGATGGAATTGTGGATGGATCAATAAATGGATGAGATAATGAATGAATGGATGGGTTGATGGATGGGTGGACGGATGGGTGGAAGGATGGATGGATGGATGAATGAATGAATGAATGAATGAATGCATGGATGGGTGGATGGAAGGATGGATAGGTGGACAGATGGGTGGATGGATGGATGGATGAATGAATGAATGAATGGATGGAATTGTGGATGGATCAATAAATGGATGAGATAATGAATGAATGGATGGGTTGATGGATGGGTGGACGGATGGGTGGAAGGATGGATGGATGAATGAATGAATGAATGAATGCATGGATGGGTGGATGGAAGGATGGATAGGTGGACAGATGGGTGGATGGATGGATGGATGGATGGACAGATGCATAGTTTGACTGATGGATGGATGGACAGATGGGTGGAAGGATGGATGGACGGACGGGTGGAAGGATGGATGGATGGATGGATGGATGGACAGATGGGTGGAAGGATGGATGGACGGACGGGTGGAAGGATGGATGGATGGATGCAAAGACTGAATGATGGATATATGGATGGATGGATGGATGGATGGATGGATGTATAGTTTGAATGATGGATGGATGGATGGGTGCATAGTTTGATGGGTAGGTGGAGGGATGGATGGATGGGTGGAAGGATGGATTGATTGGTTGATGGATAGATTGAATCATGGACGTATGGGTGGATGGATGGATGGTTGGATGGATGAATGAACAGACAGATGGATGGATGATTGGATGGATGGATAATGGATTGATGGTTTAATGAATGGATGAAAAGGTGGATTGATGGTTGAGTGGATGATTGGATGGATGAAAAAGTTTGATGGGGGAAACATTAATGGAGTATGACCCATTCCTACAGACGGTCGATGTTTTTAGGAGTTGGGAGCAGGGTTTTTATTTGGTTTGTTGGTGTTTGTTAAGCTGGTTTTACTGGTTGCTATGGCGTTCGGAAAGATCTATGGTTGCTCTGGTTCTGGTACTGGCATTTTTATGTCACATCTACAAACTGAAAATGTATAGCAATCTTTGCAATAGGAACTAATTTCTCTGACAGCAGGACTCAGTCAGAGAACTAAAAGTGGCTTTTGATCTCAGACCAGCCAGATGAATGAATGAATGAATGAATGAATGAATGAATGAATGAATGAATGAATGAATGAATGAATGCAGGATGGATGGAGCAGTGGAGCAGAACCTATGGAACCGCTCTGGATCAGGAAGTCCTGTTTATGCGAGGCTGTCTGGGTTTTGTCGCAGGATCCTGGAGGTCAGAGTGGCGGGGCTGGACATTGGCAGCACTCAGACCACACATCAGATTACAGCACTTCAAATCACATCAGCCTCCATTATATTCCGGGTCATTACATCACATTAGGCCAGACACTGATCCCAGATCTGATTAGAACCATCGATCCCTGCAGGGCGGGCAGAGGGGGGAGAGGCAGGAATTATATCAGCCCACACTACATTTCCCATCATGCACCTGTCAGTGTCAACAGTAACTGGAGAGGTCCACAGTGTTTCTCTTATCTCTTTTATCTGATCGGCGCTGGTTCTGCTCATTTTCTGGTTCTGTGTGGTAAACTTCTCTCTGCAGTTGAATAGTGACATCATCCCAGGTGTCTCACCTGTGTGTCTCTGCAGGTATCGCAGATCGCTGCACAGCTGTGAAGTATCACTTCTCTCAGCCGATCCGATTGAGAAACATCCCACTGAATCTGACCAGAACCATCCAACAGGACGAGTGGCACCTGCTACGTGAGTCCCCCCCCCCCACACACACACACATGCAGGAAGTGAAAGTTACCTGCGAACGGATGACACCTGTGTGACATCACTCGGCACTGATCACAGCAGCTCTGCTGCCCTGCTGCTTCCTGCGTTGCCTGTCGTCATGGAAACATATCATGGCGGTTATGTAACAGAGGGGGTGAGCAGGACCCGTTACCATGGCAATGCTCTCTGTGTTTCTGAGCCTCATTAAACACGGAATCAGATGAAAAGATGTTTTCCTGTTTAACTAGAAACCAACAGAAAGAGCAGAGCCAGAAACAGTACTTTTCAAACACAGAACTTGTTTGATATTGTAGGTCCATACATAAGCGCTCAGCAGAACCACACAGATATGTAACTATCCGTGTTTGTCGTCCTCAGATCTGCGGCGCATCACAGCGGGCTTCCTGGGCATGGCGGCGGCCGTCCTGCTGTGCGGCAGCATCGTGGTGTCTGTGGGATTTTTCTGGGAGGAGAGCTTGACACAGCATGTCTCCGGCCTGCTTTTCCTAATGGCAGGTAACTGTCTGTGTCTCCCCCTGCTGATGGCAGCGTAGGTCTGCAGCACATAGCTGTGCCGAAGGTCACACTGAGGGGTTATGGGAGCTGCGTCCTTCTCTCTGACACACAGCTTGAACAGACTTCAGTACCACAGCTGTGGTTATTATTACAAATACATCAAACTCTAAGCAATTTTTTTCCACAAGGTGCCTGATATTTGATGCGACTCTTACACAGGCTGTGCTCCTGCTGCTTTTAAAGGCATCCATGACTAGTTGAACATGTTGGCTTAATTTGTTATAACTTACCTTCTAATATAAAAATCCATCCTTGTGATACCAAAAAAACTCATAATTACTTCAAGAATTATATTTCCTTGTTATATTTTCCACCCATGGAGGTTGCTATTTTTCTCACCTGTGCAACGCATGCTGGGTTGTTAGTTCTGGTCTGGTTAGTTCTGGATCCTACAGAGTAAACACAGGAGGGCAAAGATTAGCAGAGATGTTTTTCATCCTATTGCATTTGTTTTTCATTCCCTCTTCCACAAATTTGATTCATTACAGGACCCTGCATTACAGGACCTAGCATACGTGGTTTACCCAGAACACACTGCAGCCTAAACAACACCGGTTGTGTCAGAATGTCCGCCCAGAACCCTATATAGGACATTCCAAAAAAAGAAAATTAAAAAGCAATCCACTGGACTCTGTTTCCAAGTTTGAAGACGTTTCGCTTGCCATCCAGCAAGCTTTTTCAATTCAAAAAGTCAGGAATAGGTTTGAGTTCGAGGTTTTATACAGTAGCCCAACAAAGCCTTGTTTTTGTTTTGAAAACATGCAAATTGGAACAGACGAAGGGGTCCTTAATTTTCTAAGGGGTTTTTAATTTTCTTTTTTTTTTTTGGAATGACTATGACCTGGAAGACTTCACCAAACCATATAGGCCACTATACACTCACCGGCCACTTTATTAGGTAGCCCATGCTAGTAACGGGTTGGACCCCCTTTTGCCTTCAGAACTGCCTCAATTCTTCGTGGCATAGATTCAACAAGGTGCTGGAAGCATTCCTCAGGGAGTTTGGTCCATATTGACATGATGGCATCACACAGTTGCCGCAGATTTGTCGGCTGCACATCCATGATGCAAATCTCCCGTTCCACCACATCCCAAAGATGCTCTATTGGATTGAGATCTGGTGACTGTGGAGGCCATTTGAGTACAGTGAACTCATTGTCATGTTCAAGAAACCAGTCTGAGATGATTCCAGCTTTATGACATGGCGCATTATCCTGCTGAAAGTAGCCATCAGAAGTTGGGTACATTGTGGTCATAAAGGGATGGACATGGTCAGCAACAATACTCAGGTAGGCTGTGGCGTTGCAACGATGCTCAATTGGTACCAAGGGGCCCAAAGAGTGCCAAGAAAATATTCCCCACAACATGACACCACCACCTCCATTCTGACCCTACCATCCGAATGTCGCAGCAGAAATCGAGCCTCATCAGACCAGGCAACGTTTTTCCAATCTTCTATTTTCCAATTTCGATGAGCTTGTGCAAATTGTAGCCTCAGTTTCCTGTTCTTAGCTGAAAGGAGTGGCACCCGGTGTGGTCTTCTGCTGCTGTAGCCCATCTGCCTCAAAGTTCGACGTACTGTGCGTTCAGAGATGCTCTTCTGCCCACCTTGGTTGTAACGGGTGGTTATTTGAGTCACTGTTGCCCTTCTATCAGCTCGAACCAGTCTGGCCATTCTCCTCTGACTTCTGGCATCAACAAGGCATTTCTGCCCACAGAACTGCCGCTCACTGGATGTTTTTTCTTTTTCGGACCATTCTCTGTAAACCCTAGAGATGGTTGTGCGTGAAAATCCCAGTAGATCAGCAGTTTCTGAAATACTAAGACCAGCCCTTCTGGCACCAACAATCATGCCACGTTCAAAGTCACTCAAATCACCTTTCTTCCCCATACTGATGTTCGGTTTGAACTGCAGGAGATTGTCTTGACCATGTCTACATGCCTAAATGCACTGAGTTGCCGCCATGTGATTGGCTGCTTAGAAATGAAGTGTTAACGAGCAGTTGGACAGGTGTACCTAATAAAGTGGCCGGTGAGTGTATAGTGATTATGTCATTTTAAATGAGCGTCTGAATGTGTAGTGGATGAAAAATTAGTGGACTCAAAATTCTCACCATGCACCTTGAAAAGCAGTGATCATCCATGGTCACTAGACAAGCAGATATATCCTGGAATGCTTTGCGATGAGAGCTTCCCTCTTAAAGCATCATGGGATTTGTTGTCACAGCGGCATGCTTTTGATACCTGACAGTGGCAACAAATAACAAAGATGGCTCAGGAACCGTGCAGGGAGGTGGAGTCATGTGACAAATAGAGAGGGAAAAGTAGTGATCATCTGTCTGAACGGTCAGTTAACTGAGTTCACTATAAAGTCCACTATACAGTCGCCGTTCTATGTAGTGATTGAGGGATTTAGGGGTTAAGACGGACGTTCAGACACAGCCATGCTGATGTCTTTGTGACAATATTTTTTACAAATTTACAAACACTAAACAGCTAACAGTCATACTTGCCAACGCTCACAATTTTCATGGAAGACGATTTTTTGATGTAATCTCCTGCCAAACTCCCGATTTTCCAGTGAAGGAAAAAGGAAAGCTTGTGGGATATATGCATGGGTGGTACGGATGTGGGGTATGCGTTGGACATGTCCACTGGATTTTTTTTCAGCTGTTACAACAGTTAATCCCATTATCAGCATGGAGTAATTTCTTTTTCCGATTTGTCTTTGAATGCACCATGAGCATACGCATGCTAATGCAGAGGATCGAGACGTGATGCTTAGCGGAGCTAAACGTGAGCATCAGATTGTTTAGCAGCAGTTTTATTAAGCAAACCGCTTAAGTTGTGTAATGTTGTTTGCAAAATAGTTAAAAGATGACAAGGTAGAATTTGTAAAACAGGTATAAAAAAAAATAAAATTGGAAAAATAAATTTGGATAAAAATTTTGAAAAAAACAGTATACTGTAAAAAACATTTGCTGCAGTTTTGCATGCAGATTATGAATTACTCTCTCAAACCCCTTTTTTTATGAGAAGGTTTTTGAAAGTTCATATTTGGAAAACTATTTTCTTCAACTTTACTTTTTTTTTTACACATGTTCTTTGCTTTCAACAGTCGCCATAAAGAAAAACAATTACGATCCTACAGTTCTCTCAAACTTTGGACCAATTTTAAAGTTCGCTTTCTCTCCAAAACTTCATGATATGCATGAGAAGCTGTCGGATTCAGAAAATGTAGGTTTGCAAATAAATAGAAATTGAGTCTACACAGGAAACAGATTCAAGCAGCTTCTGCAGGAGCGGAAGGAAAAGCCCAACCCAACTTCAAGCTCTCCTTCTCCGAATCCCCTCCTGCAGCCGTCTTTTATTAACAGAACATGACACATGGTTACAAACAGAGTATTGTTCTGACAGAACAATTGATCAGTTCATGAGGACAGAATGCTCCATCAGAATGACAAGGCAGGATGGTCTCCTGACTGGATCATGAGACAGGAGTGGAGCATCCCCTTGCACAAATGTTTCATAAGCATACATTAATTCTATAATCATCATTGAATAAACCCAACAGAAGCTTTACTCCGTTTTTCAGTCTTGTTACTGAAACTCGTCCGGATGTGCAATCATCTTTTTATAACTGCTTATTCTGGTAATCAAACTTTTTAAAATTCTTCTTGATTTTAATGCTGCTTTTGAATCGATAGATCATAATGTTTATTTATCAATGCTGGACAAATGTTTTGGTATAAAAATCTAAATCTTTGATGATTTAAGTCCTATTTAACCAACAGAAATGTCTCCGTCAAGCTCTAATCTCATTTAGACCCTCAAGGCTCCAAAGTGGGTCTTGCTTTATACTCGTACCTGAAATACAACCTCTTGCATGCAGACAACCTTCAGGTCAACTTTTCTTTAAAATCTCAGTGGATTCCAGTCAGATGAGAGGCTACTAAATGTTTGATAGATGTAAAGTGTCTTCATCTAAACTGTTAAAAAGTAGAGGTTGATAAATCTGAGCTGCTGGCTGGATGGACTATTCTGGCTTTGTTGCCTTTAAGAATCTTGAGGGGATCTTTGATTTCTAAACTGATATGTGCTGTAGTCCAGTCTCGTGTTTCTGTTCAGCTTTTTGAGGCCCGTTGGTGAAATTTATGGATTATTGTCTTCGCAATGTAATTTCTTCTAGACTGTAGCACTGCAGCTGTCCCTATCTACTTATTCTTCCATCCCCAAAAGTAAAGAGCATGTGATCTGGAAAACAAAATTGGAATTGCTTAAAAAAAGCATTTTAAAAACTTAAATTTTAGACTATAAAATCTGCAGAAAAAAAAGAATTTGAAACTAATAACATCTGAAAAAACAACCAAGTGCGTTTTTTTTTAAAGATGTTAAGTAATGGGCACTATTTACAAGTCTCCAAGTCAGGAGTGGGATTACATTTCTGGGAGGGTACAAAACTTTGTAGGAAACCAAATACGGGTCCAGCAAGAAGAGTCTGGATGTTCTGAAGTTCTTTTAGAAACCAGCATCTGTCATCAGTGAGCAGAACCTAAGACCTCTGCCGTGCTTTCCTAGTCAGATCTGTTTTTTCTCTGTTCTCAGGAATCTTCTGCACCATCTCCTTGTGCACGTATGCAGCCAGCGTGACCTATGACCTTTCCAGAAACCCGCCTTTCATCTACGGTCTTCCGGCTGACGTGGATCATGGCTACGGTTGGTCCATCTGCTGCGCCTGGGCCAGTCTGGGTCTGACTGTGGCCTCTGGCTGCCTTGGAACCTCCTTCCCTTTTCTGAGTCGGGCCGGAGCGCTCAGATCCAAAACGGCCCGGGAATCCTCAGTGTGAGCTGCCAGCTGTCGGTCAGGAGATTCTGGACAGTTTAGGCTCAGCTGCAGACCTACAGTTGTGTGTCGGACATTCGATCTGAGGTGGATGGGGTCACCTGTTTCTAGAGCCTTTGTGCAGCTTGGCGCCCCCTGGTGGATGTAAAGAAATAACTGTATGGCAGTTTGTTTTGGCTCTGAACCAAAAAGATTTACAGGATTTCTGTTACGACATCCCAGCTGTGCATGGCCGCAGGTGACGTTATAAGCGTTTGAAGAACTTGATGAAATTGCTTCATCAGTATCTAAAAGTTTGGACTCCGTAACATCTCAGTTCTCAGAAAAGGTCAAGAGGTTGTAAACAAATTCAGGGTAATCATCTCTACCCAGATCCATAACCTCTCCCCTATCTCAGTGGTTCCCAAAGTGTGGGGGCACGCCCCCTGGGGGGCCTCAGTGTAATTTCAGTGACCTGCATTAATAGAATTTATCAGATTAGATGACCAATTTTAAGATGTTGTTAAAAAAAAAACAAAACACTAATGCCATGTTGAATTATTTTGTAAAGTAAAATAAACAAATCAAACAAAATCATTACACTTTGAAACTGATAAGATTGTAGTTTGATTTATTGTAATATGTTTTACTGCAGTACTGTCAAAATATGTATGAGGTGGGGCGTGAAAACTTTATTTTAAATTAAATAGGAGCCCACCAGAAACAGTTTGGGAACCACTGATCTATCTCATGATGACCAATCTAGGCTGTTAACCCATCTGAAAACATTAACCAATCAAAGTCGTTAACACATCCTAGAATGTTAACCTCTCTAAGTCGTTAAACATCCTAGACATTGACAAATCTAGGTTGTTTTACGCATCCTAGAATGTCAACCAATTCAAGTCATTCATCCTAGAAATGTAGGCAATCTAGGTCATTTACCCATCGTAGAAGGTTAACCAACCTAGGTCATTAATGCATCCTAGGTCGTAAACATCACAGTCTTTTAAAGAAGTTTCTCATGCTTCTTTTAACTTAACAGTTTGCATCAAGCAGTTAAAAAACTTAATGGTCTGAAGTTGCTGTGCTTCTGATGGAGTTCAAACTTTTACCTGCAAACTGAAATCTTCCTTTTTCTCACTCGGCTTGATGAACATTCAGTTTTCAGAAGGCGAGATCAGGCGACCTCAGCTTTATTATCTGATTGTTTAAAAAAAACAAACATCTGGTTCAAATATCCTGCCCAGAGCTTTAACATTCAGTGGAGTGAGAGGACTGTATAAGACCGATGGATGACTGGTTTCAGCACCTTTTTTTTTGTTTTTTTGTTCGGACAACCAGACCTGCAAAATGATCTTGAGACTGAGGGGGATTTATGCTCTCATCATCAGGATTCAGAGAGTTCTGATCAACATAACCTAAAGAACCAGAAGGTGTCACTTCACCAGAAACAGAAATATATCAGTCTGCATTGATATATACAATAAACAAATAAAAAATAGTCTGAAAAATCAAAAGTTCAACCGTCTGCTCCAGAACTTGGCTGTTCAGGTCTGGTTCCATCACTTCTTGAGGTTCAAACAGGATGGACACCTGGCCTGGTAACAAGCTGAAATGTTCTGTTTGGATGATTCCAGCAGCTTCAGGTCAGGAATATGCTGTCAGACACATTGGATCAGAACCCTCTGGAGATTTGGATCCCAGCTCAGACATACCTGTGTAAATACTGTAAATTTTCTGATCCTGTCAGTGAATATACCGAAGCCGTGTTCTGATTGTCGTGATTATTCAGCTGCGAGCTGAGCCACAAACTGGACTGAAGCGGACCGACAGGGTTTTATCCCTGTTTAGAAAGTTTATCAGTCAGACAGAGGACAAAGTTCTGTGTGGCTGACCCTGTAGCTGCTGCTCATAATGTTTTCTTTTCAGGTGTCCCTGAACAGAACCAAGTCAGTCTTACTGACCACTGTAGTTCTACTTTAGCTGAGGCAGAACCTGTGACAGTTGCTCCCCAGGTACTGCTGGATCTTCTGCTCACTGCAGAACTGGGAACTGAAGCCAGACTCCTCTGGTCCATCTCAGCTGTTAAGGTTCCTGCCCTCTGCCTCCCAATTCTAGCTGCAAACGTTCCTTTAAAGAACCACCCTACCAGCAGCAGCCTGCATTCGGGATCTTCGCCCGCTCCTGGATTCTGCAATGTCCTGTCCCCCCCCTGCTGGACTCTGGTCTTCTGGTGTTATTCTGATGTTCAACTGTAAATAAACAACGTAAACAGAACCAGAGCATCTGTCTCCTCTCTGCTTTGAGTTTAATTAATTTATTAAATGTATTTATAGAGGCATTTATTCAACCCAGCTGACTCTGGACTGTCGGACTGGGTCTGTTTTCTTTGAACCAGTGTCATGCTGCTCTGGTGAGGCCTCTTCCATTTCCACATCACACCGCTTTGCTGCAGATGGTCTGTTTTCACAGCACTTCATTGGTCTTGCAAACGTGTGAATTCAGTCAGTGTGATTTTAGAGAAACTTCCTTTTTAGAAGCTTTAGCTGCTGTGAAGATCAGCTCTACGGGGTGCCCTGACTCATCAATGTTCCCTTCTAAAGAAGCAGAACCACAGAAAGAATGATAACCTGTTTGTGACAATGTTAAAACTAGTAATGTTGGAAAATCCACTGGATTTTCATAGAATCTAATCAAATAAAGTTCTTTAAAGTTATGTATTAAAACAGGAGGCTGTTTTAATACATAACTGATAACAACCTGCTTTACAGGGATCACATTGTCCAATATAATATTGATATATGCACTACTATGTATTAAATAACTGATTTGTTAGGTCCTCAGGTATGCTGATCTGTAATAAAAACAGTGGAAAAGTTTCATTACAGGGTGTTCCTGCCTAAATAAAGAACTATCAATATGTAAAGATGAGATTTCCTCTCATGGGCAGTTTCATCCATTAACCTCAAAAGCACTTTATGGAATTATAGCTACTTGCTCAAGCTTGGTGCCATATGACAGCACAAGGTCCAGAATATGATGAGAAGAGCGTGTGGGTATGCTGATGTTTTGGACAAAGCCAGTTCATTTAGCATCAAAGGCTACATTTAGGTTATTGTTTTATAGGTAATGTGAGAATGAAATTAAGAGTAAGGTTCTGGTGAATGATATCAAACTGCAAACAGAGGTTGGTTTTAGACGGTGTATTTATCAGGATGTTTTTTCTACTGTCCAATTCATACCTGCTGTGTGGAGTGAAATCGGTTATTGATGCATGCAAAATATCGTTTTGTAAATGGAAATTAAAGAAATCAAATCAAGAAATTTAAACTTAAAACAAATTTTAATCAACATTTTTACAGAGTTAATAAGCTGTTTTCACAGATTTTCTTTATTTTCACTGTTTTGTTTTTTTATTCAGTCATCTCAAACTTTGGTTTTTGGATAGACAATGATTTTATTTGGATCGGCAAATCAGCTCTGTTGTAAAATCCACCTTTTATCACATCAGATGATTGGCCAAGCTCAAATATTTTCTTTCACAGCAGCACTTTGAAACAATGATTCATGCCTTTGTTGCATCTCAGCTAGATTACTGTTACAGCATTTATTCTAGGGTGAGCCAGTCCTCCCTTGCACGTCTCCAGTTGGTGCAAAATGCACCCGCACGCCTATTAACTGTACTATGTAAGAACGAGCATGTAACTTCCACCCTGGCCTCCCTCCATTGTCTGCCTCTGCATTTTAGAGTTAATTTCAAGATAATTTTATTTTCTTTTAAGTCTTAAAATGGGTTGAACCCTCCCTACCTTACTGAGCTTCTCCACCCTTATGCTCCCACTCGGTGCCTCATGTCAGCTGACCTTCTGCTGTTGCAAATACCTAGGTCCAAACGGAGGCTCAGAGGAGACAGAGCTTTTTCAGTTGCTGTTCCAAATTTTGCAATGAGCTCCCCCTCCTCATTAAGCAATCCTCTTCACTGTCTATTTTTAAAACTTATCTGAAAACCAATTTTTATTTGTTGGCTTTCAGCACAGCATGAGACTCTCTGCGTTTTTGTGTTTTGTTTTATTGTTTTAGATGTGGCCTTATTTGTTTTACTTAATTTATTTTATTTGTTTTATTCGTTTAAACTTTCATGTTGATTTTATACATTTTAAATCTTTCTTGGTATGTACAGCACTTTGGCAGCTATTGTTGTTTTAAAGAGCTTTATAAATAAAAATCTTTAGAAAATTGAAAACATTATGTACAAACATGATCATGCTCTTCATCAGACTATTAAATACCAATGTGTTCAATGAAAGACTACTTTAGATCTGTTGCAAGACAGACTGCAAGATCCTTCCATGTGGTCTTTGTTGAACAGAAGTTTGGATTGCCAGTATTATGTCGGACTGGTTCCTGGTGAATATTGGACTCCAGCAGGACTGTCCTCTGTCACTAGTCTTACTTGTAGCGTTATGGACAAGTTATCTAGAAGCAACCAAGGGTTGGAGGGTGTCTGCTTTGAGGACCAGCGTATTATGTCACTGCTTTTCAAGATTATGTGCCTCTGCTGACTCCTACCTGCCGTGACCTACACTGTGCACTGGGCCGGTTCGCAGTCAAGTGCGAAGCAGGCGGGTTGAAAATCACCTCCAAGTCTCAGGCCATTGTTCCTGACCAGAAAATGGTGCCTTATATCTTTCCTGTTGGAGGCTAGTTCCTGTATCAAGTGTTGGAGTTTAAGTATTTTGGGTCCTGGTTACGAATGAGGGTAGAATGGAACATGAGATTAAAAGACAGATCATCAATGCTGATGCTGCACCAGTCTGTTGTGGTGAAGAAAGAGCCGAGCAAATGGCAAGACTTTTAAGTTACTGGTCGGTCTACAATCCTACTGTCATATATAGCCATGAAATCTGGATCATGACTGAAAGAATGACATTGTGGATGAAAGCAGCTGAAATTAGTTTTCACTGCAGGTTGCCTCAGCACTACTTTGGTCATCCACCAGAGGCTCAGAGTAGAGCTGCCTCTATTCCACATCAAGAGGACTTAGCTGTAGAGGTTCAGCAACCTTTTTAAATGCACCTGTAACACCTCCCTCGTCCCATTTGGAGGAGACCCAGGGGACAACCAGAGACATGATGGTGGGAGTAAGTAACTTTGCTGGTCTGGGAGTGTCTCTGGCTTTCTGGGGAGAGGGCTCTCTGGTTATCCCTGCTGAGACTGCTGACCTTTTGACCCGGTCTGAGATAAAGCGGAAGACACAGGTATGAGACAAGGAGTATGAACTGGTTGATTTAAAGGGATAAGCTGATAGTACGGACTGGTTTATTTAAAGCAGGGGTGTTCAAGTACAGTTCTCAAGAACTACTCTCCTGGAACTTTTTGATGCGCCCCATTTTTAACACACCTGAAACAAATGAGTGGCTCGTTACCATGCCTCTGCTGGGCTAAATGAGGGGAGAATTTTGATTCCGGTGTGATAGGGAAGAGCTGCATCTAAATGTTACAGGATGGTAGTTCTTGAGGACTGGATTTGAGCACCCCTGATTTATATGGATAAGCTGAGGGTACGGACTGGTTGATTTAAAGGGCTAAGCTGAGGGTACGATCTGGTTGATTTAAAGGGATGAGGTGGGGTATGAAGAAATTGATTTAAAGACAAGCTGTGGAAACTGATCTAATCATTGCATCTCATTAGTTTGCACGGCCTTTTGGGGTTTCCAAAGGAGTTATTTCCAGGTTCAGTTAGCAAATAAAATATTTCTAAAACTGATCTAAAGTAGCTTTCAATAAACTGCTGAAAGAAAATATGCTTAAATGTCAGAAGAGTTTTGAGTCCTGAGCAAACTCTGAAGGGATTTTGCTAACAGATGTGAGGCATATACTAACAGATAACTTTATTAATAACATATAATTTTATTCATAAAGCATTAACAAACGGTTCCACGGGAAGACGGAACTGTTTGGTATTAGTTAAACCCGGGTATGAAACAAGCAGAACTGCAGAAACAGAAAACACGATCACTGCAGTACCGCGGCCGGCCACGCGCACTCAGGCGCGCACACCTCCCAGTACCCCACTAATGTACGTCAGGAATTTGTAGAGAGCGCATGCGCAGCAGTGTATAGTGTACGGTACCGCCACAGTGACAACAACCACGGCCGTTTGATCGGTGAGTGTCCACCCGCTTGGCCCCGGAGCCAGAGCCTGACAGAAACCCGGCCTGGCGCTCACATCCGGAAGAGAAGACGCCTCCAGGAACTGCGGTGTCTGTGGGACCCAGCAGTACCGAGCTAAGCCGACCGAACCGACCCAGCTGCTATTGGCGCCCCTCTGGAGGCTAGAGAGCCAGACACCCGCAGCTGCGGGCCGTCAGCCCGGAGAACCGGAGGGTGCCCGCCGCTAGCAGCCCCCATGCTAACAGGCTAGCAGTACCATGCCCTCCTCCCTCTGAACCGAGCCGAAACAACACCGCGCTGAACCAAACCGGGGAGCTAACGACCAGTGTAGCGTCCGGACACCGCTCACCCTCCGTGGAGCGGCCGAGGATGGTCACGGGGACAGGGTCCGCTTCGGAGGATCGTCCCGGCTCCGCCCGCCCTGCTGGACCCGGACACTGCCGGACTTGGTTTATGTAGCCCGGCTAACCGAGCGAGTTGGTCCCGCTGCGGGGCTGCTGCTCTCGGCCCGGGCTGCAGACATGCAGGCCGCCCAGCCGCAGTACGACTTCTTCAGCGAAGACAACGCTGGCAAGTGGAGAGGCCTGCTGGTTCCGGCCCTGGAGAAGGTGCTCAGAACACACACAGAACCAGACCCATACACAACCCTCACTTCTCTAACAGCCAAAGACCAAACAAAAAGGACATGGTACCAGACTAGAACCAGAACAACACAGTGACACGGTTTCTTGAATGTGCAGTGGTTGGATGAACTAAGTCCACCTTTTGGACCATGAGCCCATCTAAAATTTCTGTTGTCATGGTTACTCTCAGGTTGTACAATATTCAGCACCAGAATCTGTTCAAATGTGTGTGTCGTTTCCATGACAACCTGTGATGTCACATAGGAGGAGAGTGAGCTCCTGAAGTTCGCAGCTCCCTCTTTCCAACTAGAAGCTCCCTGATGTCCTGCAGGTTCCACATTAGGCTGATCCATGTAAAGATAGAACCAGGCAGTGGTTCTCTTTGGTCAGAAAGTTGAAAATAAGTTCTGACCCCGATGAGACCAAAAACTCCCCCTGGTTCTGGAGACAGATGATATCACCTACTCCTGATGCTCATCTCGCTGTATGTTCCTTCTCTGAGAAGTCCAGCTGCTTGTCTCAGCTTCCTACAGGAAGTAAGCTGTACTGACCAGATGTGGTCCAGCTGAGCGTGCACGTACAGCTGTGCAGCTCTTCTTGAGAGATTCAGCTGAGGCTACAGCTCCTAGTTGAGGAACCATCTGCAGCTGGGCCCTCTCTGTGAGCTGTAGGCTGATCTGTTGGTTCTCTGCTTCCTGTTTTTGTGATGTCACGGATACCTAGCCAATCAGCTCTACACAGCTGCTAGTTAGAGCTGTAGCTATAGAAGGAAATTTGTTCCAAAAACACTTTTTATTAATGGACGTTTTAAAAAACACATTTTGAAACTTGAAATGAGAAAAAAAGGATTCATTAATGAAATATAGATAAACATTGTTTATCAACAAGTTTTTGAAATACTTTTTTCGATTGTTTTCTACACATTTTCTATTTTCCATTTTTTGAAAATTCATATTCATGTTTTTCAAATTAAGTTTTATGACTTTTCAAACTGCGTTTTTACAGATCCCATTCTATTCATCTCCGGGATGGGGTTTCCTCTGTAGTGAGGTGTAAAAACGCATTTCGTTTGGAGAATTTTTTGTTCAGTTTCAAACTGGGGTTCCCTCAGCATATGTACCAGATCAGCTCAGGGCTCCACCCCTGCTGCTGCCAAAAGTGGACTACTAGAATAAAATCAACGGGTACTGTTGACACAGAGTTAAGTCCTGCAGCTTAATTTGGCTATCCGACTGAGCTAAAAGAGGATAACCTGTTAGCTACTGAGCAAAGCTAGCTAGTTTTACCGTTTTGCTGTTTTACCCTGGGGGGAAAAAAATCAAAAAGTAATTTAAAGTATATTTTTTTGTTTCATATTATATGCCTGTAATGAAAAAAGTTTTTGAGTTTTTAGAATAATTTTTTCAATTGTTTTCTACTTATTTTTCACTTTTTTATGCATATTCATGTCTATCCGGTTAAGTTTTATGACTTTTCAAATTGCATTTTAACAGATCACATTCTCTTCGGCTATGGGGATGGGCTTTCCTCTGTATTGAGGAGTAAAGACGTGTTTCGATTGGTCTGCACAGACGTTAGTAACCGCTTTTATTGGTCAAGAGTGAGCATTTTTGGGGCATTGGGCTCCAAATGAAAAGACTTTTATCTATGAAACCCATTTCGTAAAACAAAATCTGAAAAAAAGGAAAGTTACGGAGCCCCTCTGATGACATGGTCAAAAAAAATGTTTAATTGTGGCCACGAAGTAGTATTTCGTGCGCACGAAGTAGTATTTCGCGGCCACGCAATAAGTATAACGTGCGCACGAAATACTACTTCGTGGCCACGCAATAAGTTTAACGTGCGCACGAAATACTTATTAATAATATCAATAAATCTGCCCCTGTTTTCAGGCTTATGTTAACTGTAATGACTTATCTTGGACAGGCTGCTATGTAAACTGGCCTTTAGTCCTTCGTTTAGCTATGCTGCGGTTGTTTACACTACGCCTTTTCCACCTAAAATGAAGTACACTCCCTAAAATAGCGTCTTAGCAACAAATGTCACGTGACTGGCGGAGACCGACTGGGTAAGCAAATCGAGCGCGCCTTAGACCTTAGAGAAGGCGCGCTCGATTTGCTTACCCAGTTGTCCAGGAATGATATTAATGTTATCAATAAGTATTTCGTGCGCACGTTAAACTTATTGCGTGGCCACGAAATAGTATTTCGTGCGCACGATAAACTTATTGCGTGGCCACGAAGTAGTATTTCGCGCGCACGTTATACTTATTGCGTGGCCCAGAAATACTACTTCGTGCGCACGAAATACTACTTCGTGGCCACAATTAAACATTTTTTTTGACCATGTCATCAGAGGGGCTCCGTAGAAAGTATTAAATCTGTAAAAAAAAAAAAGAATTGGAAAAAAACATTACAAAAAAATGAAATCTGAAAGTTTTATTAAAAATTGAACTAATATTTTAGAAAACTTTATAATAAAAATGTTTCTAGTTTCATTTCAAAATTTAGAAAATACTTTTTTCCCCCCGTTTTTATTTACAAAACACGTTCTTTGCTAGCAGCAATAATGGAGCAAATTTCTCTTCATATATTTTGCCCTGTTCTAAACTTTTTTTTAGGTCAGATGATCTCAGTGGGTAAAGGTTATGATTGTTGTGGAGCAGGCATGTTTTCAAATCAAACATTCTTAGCATAATAACAGCTTGATGGTTCTTGTTCTGGTTCTGCCTGTTTCCAAGAGTTCTGCAGTTGGTCCTGCTGATCACAGATCAGACGCTGTTTTGATGGGTTTTGGTTTAGGATGGGTTAGTGGTTAAATCTGGATTAGTCAAAACCCAGTCCTGTAGGATTACTTTTGCCTTAGTGGGCGTTTCTGTGTCTGTGGAACTGAGCCTACCAACAATAAACCAATAAACCACACCAACATCATCTTAGTTCAGTTTAACTATGGTTTATACTCAGAATAAATGTAGGGCGCTAAACAAGTCATAGTAAGGTTCAAGAATAAAAAATAAATAACAATTTGACCAGAAAATTATTTGGAAACTGAAAAAAGCAGATGTGAAACGGAAAACTGTTCTTTAATCTAAAAAAAAAAAAGGATCTTTAATTATTCTATTTTTTGTTGTTATGTTCTTGGCTTTACATATTTGGGTTTTATCTATTTTGTCTCAACATCTTTTTCTTGTTTTTATACTAACTAACATAGCGCTTTGTGCACCAAATTAATAGTTAAAAAGTGCTTTATAAACACACTTTGAAAAAATGTTTGAGACTTAAAAAACATAAAACAAAAAATAATGGAACCAAAAATTATTGTTTAGGTTTCATTAGGTTTCAGCGGGTCATTAAAGGTCATTTAATTATTTTTAAAATTAAGGCCTTCATGGGCATTAAGATTCACTAAATGTGATTTTCATGGCATTTAAAATGCTTTATTTAAGAAAAAAAAAGTTTATAAAAAACAATTTCGTCAGATATATTATATCGCGATATATTTGCGCGGAACTGCTTCCGGTTGATCGTAAAGTCGTATGATCAGAAAAGATATGAGTCATGGGTTCTTGTTGATGGCATTAAAATTATTAAGATCATTAAAAAGCACTGAATTACAGTTACTCGTTCCTGTATAAACCCAGTTTTCAGATTTATTTATACTATTTTTTAACTTTGAGAATTTTTTATTCAGTTTCAAACTGGGGTTCCCTCATTATATGTACCAGATCCGCTCAGGGCTCCACCCCTGCTGTTGCCATAAGTGGACTACTAGAATAAAATCAACGGTTGTTGTTGACACATAGTTAAGTCATGTAGCTTAATTTTGCTAACTGACCAAGCTAAAATAAGATACACTGTTAGATACTGAGCAAAGCTAGCTAGTTTTACTGTTTTGCAGTTTTGCTGTTTTACCCTGGGGAAAAATATCAGAAAGTAGTTTAAAATATTTTTTTTAAATTTTCATATATATATATTTCTCTAGTTTTAAAAATGTGTTTTTAGAATTATATTTTATTTTAAGTTTTGAATTTTATTTTTTTTAGTTACAAAAGCACAATTCAGTATTTTTTTTTTTACCTTTAAATGTCAGTTTCAAATGATCAGTTTCTTCACTGATAATTTTTTTTGAGGTAAAAAAAAATTGTTTTGATTAAACTTTATGGCACCACTTCAGTTCCATATAGATGCCTTCTAATCAACTGTTGAAATAAATTCCTTTGTTTAATCCTATCAGTCATACAGCAGATCCAGTTCCATTCATTCAACCTGGTTAAGGTGTTTCTTGTGCTTACACAGGTGTTGTACCAGGTGCATCCAAGCCTGAAGTCCCAGCAGGAGGCGCTGCAGTACATCGAGGATTTGATCCTGCAGCTGCTCAGCATGTTGTGCCAGGCTCAGCCGCGCACCGTACAGGATGTGGAGGTGACGCAGCACCAGCACACACAAACACACATGTTCAGCTTGCTTGTAAACGGATTCATTTGACGGATTTACTTAAATAAAGTTGGTTTGAAGGCAGCCGGCCTGCAAGAACAAGCGTGCCCCCTGATGACATCACACAGTGGGCGTGTCCTGCTTCTCCCTTCCAGCTGATGGCGGCGGCTGTGAAAAAATAAAAACAAGGTGCTGTTTGAAGAAACACTGCTGATTGGCTGTGTTTCTCCCACTAACCCCGCCCTTCAAATTTGCCCCGCCCACCTCCTCTATACCTGCTGTTTCCGCTGTGTTCCTGTGTGGTGATGAGTTCGTTCCGTTTAGCCAATCACAGCCATGATGTCATTCCCATATGGTGCACATCATGGGACAGGACGTGTGACCTTTCAAATCAGCTGATTGGCTGCAGTCAGGGTCAGGTGATGTCTGGACCAGAGCCCTAGTGATAGGAGAGTTCTGCTAGCGAGAGACCAGGAGAGTTGGGTTGCTATGGCGTCCAGTAGTTTGGGCCATTTAAAGAACAGGCAGAACTCTTACAGATACTCATGTAATTTTTTCACAAAATTCTTACTCATAGTGAGAAAGTTTACTGAGAGGTTTTGCTCTATATAACAATTCTGTTGTTAGCCATGGGAAGTTTGTTTTTTAATCTACACCTTGTTTTAATAATATTTTGTTGACTTATATGTAAAGTTAATGTTTTTTTGAAATGATAAAAGATGAGGAGAAAAACCTAAATATGATTTTCTACTGCAATGCTATGCTAACATCTATCGTGATGCTAGCAGGAAGTACCAGCAAACTATTATGCATTGCTAGCCTGATAAACCAGACTAAATGTGTAATTTAGTCTGGTCCCGATGAATGAGACATTGGAATATTGTTGATGAGACCAACCCTTGTCTTTCAAACCATGTCTGTGTCTCTTGGCCAACGCTCTCACCTATGCGTGCAACTGACTGTGACGTAGTAAGCGCGACAGGAAGCTGGTGGGGGAGTGTAAACAAACAGCCTGTCGGTAAAACGGCGAATACGTCCTTCTTAAAAATTAATGAGAGTAGAGCCTCTTCCTGCTCACGTTTCAACGAAAACCCCAAGTCTAATCCTTCCAGAACTGATTCCAAAGCTGAGTCAAAAATCGCCATCAGAGCCAGCGGTCCTTCATACAGACTATGCTGAGAGAGGGCCACTGCAGACGGGCTGCGGTTAGCCCTGGATGCCGTTAGCCTCGGCAACTTCGGAAATACATTTTTTTTATTTTTTTTTATTACGCATTAAATCGGTAAATGGACCATATAGTGATGCTTTAAAGTATAATATCCTCCTCAAATTATCTTAAAACGTACTTTTATTGAACAACAGCAACAAAAGAGAGAAATTTAAACTTTCAATGGAGCGCTCCATTGAAAGCTGCTGCTGCCGCTGCATGCTACTGTTCAATAGTTGTTGCCATCTTCCTTGTTGTGCCTTCTCCAGCGTCGCGCAGCTTTGTCATCACACCCTTTAAACCCCGCCCACTTTGCATCCAAAAATTCTAAACACATCTCTGCGTTGTGATCGGCCCGCCAGTTCTAGGGCCTGGAGCATTGATTGAGGCTAGACCAAAATGATTTTGGCCGTTGGCGGGTGGGGCTAGTTTGTTAGACTAATGCGTTGCCATTTCTTTTTAAAATGTTGCGCTTTGTCATCAATTGTCATCAAAGCATGAGGGGTTCTACAGTAACCAAACTACTGAAAGGGTTTTAGTGCAGAATTGAGATTGAAACAGTGATTTCATCCATTAGTAACAGGACCGATGATCAGAGCTGCTGCCAAATATGGAGCCATGTTTTTTTTTAGAGAGGTAGGCAAAACCAAAACCAGAATTTCAGCCTCCAGCAAAGAGTCGCTGTGATAGAGCCATGCTAGAGCTGAACCGTGAATGGATCCAGATTATTTCAGAAGAATGCACTTTTTGTGGTTCTGTTAGTAAATATAATCTCTGTATAAACTCCTTCTGTTCTCCCCTAAATAGGCCCATCTAGTCGAGTGTGTTGCTTTGAAACTACAGCAGCGTGTCAGAGCAAGATATCCTGTACTTTGAAGATTTTATTTGATTCATTTGTTTTATTTAATTTGTGGGTTACGCAATAACAATTAATACAATTGAATTGTATCAGTATAATTTTCTCATTAGATGCTACAAATGAAAAGGAGCAGAAAGAAGGTAAACTTGTTAACCCTGCTAACGATAGTTTTACATCGCAGTAAATGAAAAAAATGTTTCCCATATTTATTGTTCTTATTTCAGTAGCCTAATAGGCAAAGGTAATTTATTTTTTTTTCTTCCTATAAATATTTGTAGTTCATTTATATGTACGAAAACCCTTTTTTTGTTTATCAGTCGGTATTTTATATAGCTGTACAACAAACAGTTAAAATATAGATTATTTTTTAACAACATTTTGTAAAAATAATTAGGCCTTTATTTTAAAGAATGATTGTTTTGATAGAAGAGAAAAACCTGTTTTTTTAGAAAATGGTTAATGGCTAAACAATTAAATTATTAGTTGATTGACCAACTAATGATTGATAAGATCAATCAACTTTAGAGTCATTTATTAATCAATTAGTTGCATCCCTAGCATGTAGGTTTTCCTAATTTAAGTTTGAAGCACCTAAAATTTGGTGGGTGATTTGGATATTTATTCATGTATAAAACCGTCAACCTCTGCCTCCTGCCGAGAGATCAGGGATATAGCTGAGCTTTGAAAGTAGAACTAAAATAAGACGCACACAAAAATAAAAACTGTATTTGTGTGATATGAAAAATGTCTGAAACCCTGCAGAAGAAGAAGAAATATAGTATTTACGCTGACACGGCACCATGAGTGGACCACCAGTGTGAAGTTGGTTCATTCTTTGATTCAATTTAATTGAGTTTATTTCTATAGCACATATTCAAAACACATCTCACCTTAAGACTCTTTAGAGAGACAATTCAATCAGACAGGGCAGACGAGTTACTATGAAGAGAAAGAAAGAGAGCACATAAAGATAAAAGCAAAATCATACAAAACAGGAGAGTCGTCAGAACTCTGGCTGCATGATTTTGGATCAACTGAGGGATTTCAAATGCATTACATGGAGTTCCTGATAGTAAAAAACAATAAAAACCTTGAAATAACAAAAGCATGGTCTCGTTTTTCAGCATCACGCCTGGATAAGATTGTTCTAAGAGCAAAGTCCGAACTATAAGGAGAGGTGTGATTTAAAGATCACCAGCAGGGGGCAGTAAGCATTCACAGCAGATCTCCTTATGTGTGAAGGAAGATTTGTACCATTGTTGTTACAAAAAAAAACATGATTTATAAATGGATGTTAGAAAAAAAAAAATTAAATTCATAAATAGGAAAATTGAAATCAAATCCTAATAAAACAAGGTTTTAAGAGAAAATTTGCACATTTCTCAAAAAAAAAAAAAGTTTTTAAAGATATATTTTTATTTTTTGCAGATTTTATACTTACAAATTAAATGTTTTCTAGTTTCTGTTTTTCAGATAGCATTTTAGGGATTGCATTCTTTACAAATTGCATTTAACTGATCACATTCTCTACCCTTCAAGTCCAGTACAAACTCTAACTTTTGAACAATGCAAATGTTGTTACTATAACATCCAGCAGAGCAATAGGAGTTTCCCCCCTTCCCTGATGGCTAATTATAATCCCACCTACGGTGAGTGGAGTTAATACGGAGTCAGTGAATTCCCTTGGGACAGACTTCGATTTCAGGACCTACTTGATTGTAAACATGGCGGCACCCTGCTACCTGCAGAATCAGTAAAGGCAATCTGGCTTGAAATTTGCCAGATTGCAGACTGATAAAGGATGAGTCTGTGTTCGGAGCCTCCAGGTACTTCGAGTATGGCACTCAGTCCAATCTCAAGCAGAGAGCAACATTTTACGGTTGATGGAGTCAAATCTAAACTCTTGACATTGGAACGCTGCAGGGATCCACTTTGGATCCACCGTTTTTCCAATATGACATGAATGACCTTCCTGACTGTGCCACCTTTGCAGATGATACTGTTGTGTATCCATCTGCTTTAATTGCAGCTTTGGTAGGGCACCAGTTGACACAGGACTCGATTAGAACAAGAACCTTTGAAATATACAGAGATTATCTAATTCTGAAAGAAGTCAAAGAAACTAAATGCTTTTGAATTTTTTTTTTATCATAACTTGGAAGTTTGAAAGTCAAACCCAGGATTTGTGTAAGAGTTTGAAAATAAATCTGCTTCTATTTTATCAGAACAGATGCGTCCCATGAAGCTGCATGCAGTGGTTCTGTCCCTCCCCCTCTATACTAAATCCCTTTTTGTTCTACAATCAGCCAACCTAGGTCTTAGAGACTGATGACATCACTGTGATGAATTTCTGTCTGACCTTTGACCCCTGCCACTAGAGCATCAACCTCTGGAGCTCTATGACCTGAAACGTTCACATCTTTAGTGGAGACATACAGCTGTGCAGACTTGCTCTGGAGAAATAAATAATTTTCTTAACATTTTTGATTTTAGTCGTTTTTCTACCATCATCTGCCGGTCGTTGAGTCTTAGCATGTCTGTGAATTCACAAACACTCACAGGAATGCGGTAAAACACCCGATGGCTCTTCTCCTTAGAGACTCTTCTTGTGGAGAAAAATCTGCTCATTCAGTTTATTTGGGCCTCGGGTTCTTGGATGTTAAGTCACCTTAACGGGTCTACAGTTTAGCACAGGCCGTCCCATTTACATCTCTGACCTCCATCGATATGGACTGTTGCATCTCGTTCGTCTCATTTACTCCCCTCGCCTTACTTAATTGTCCTCCAGGAGCGGGTCCAGCGGAGCTTTCCTCACCCCATCGATAAGTGGGCCATCGCAGACGCTCTTGCCGCCATTGACAAGAAGAAGAGGAAGAACCCGCTGGCTCTTCCTGTGGATAAGATTCACCCGCTGCTGAAGGTACCGGTGCTCCTCTCCTTCCTCTGATCTCAGCTCCTATTCCGACTCATCTCAGTCTCCCGTTATTCCTTCGGTTCAGGAGGTTCTGGGCTACAAGATCGACCATCAGGTGTCTGTGTACATGGTGGCAGTTCTGGAGTACATCTCGGCAGACATCCTCAAACTGGCGGGGAACTATGTGAGGAACATCCGCCACTATGACATCACCAAGCAGGACATCACTGTGGCCATGTGTGCCGATAAGGTCAGGGGACACTCAGCGGAGCTGGGTCGGGTCTAACAGGGGTCAGCTGGTTCCTCACTCATTTCTGGGTCTCTCTGTATATTTGTTCTTGCAGGTGTTGATGGACATGTTCCACCAGGACGAGGAGGACATCAGCCTTTTCCCGCTTTTAGACGAGGAGCCTTCAACCAATGAGGAGCAAAGTTACTATGATCTGGTGAGGAGCTTCATGGCGGACATTCGGCAGTACCTGCGGCAGCTCAACCTGCTCCTCAGGGTCTTCAGAGAGCCCTTCATCTCCAGTCCCATGCTCTTCTCACAACACGTACGTATCCAAAGACAGACGCACGGCCGTCGTCTCGGTGGGATCTGGTTCTGAAAGGTTGGTTTGGTCCCGCAGGATGTGGACAGCATATTCAGCCGGATCGTGGATATCCACGAGGTGACGGTGAAGCTGCTGGGTCTCCTCGAGGACACGGTGGAGATGACGGATGAAGGAAGCCCTCATCCTCTGGTGGGAAGCTGCTTTGAAGACCTGGCTGAGGTTTGTGCCATCATTGATTGGTTGGTCAGGTTTTCCAGGCTCTGGGTCATCTTTGATTTGATTGGCAGGAGCTGGCCTTTGACCCCTATGAGACCTACGCTCAGGACGTCCTGCATCCTGGTTTCCAAGAACATTTCCTTAGCCAGGTGACCAAACCAGGAGCTTCCCTCCACCTGCAGGTAAGATGGGGGCAGATGATGTGAATAGTGACAGATATGGTGATATGACTGTTGATGATGATGATGGTAAATTCTTCCTCTGTTTCAGTCCATCTGTGTTGGTTTCAAAGAGGCTGTTCGTTACGTTCTGCCCAGGCTGCTGCTGACGCCCGTCTACCACTGTCTGCACCTATTTGAGACGCTCAAGGTGAGGCACCGGTCCTCCATCAGTTTCTAAACATGCTCATCTTCGTCCTCACTAATGATGATGATTCCTCCTCCTTAAAGCAGGACTATGAACCTTAACCCTTCTTCATCCACATCTGAATCAAAGAACAACTTGTAGATCGGTTTAGACAAGTAGATTAGCTTAAAAACATATTTATAGAAGATGAAACGGTCCCTAGAAATCCCTCTAAGCGATAATCTGACCCCACTGGGAGCGCCGTCAAGCGGCCTAAGAACCATCGCCACAGCTTTATCCTCACAAGGAACCGAGAACCATCTGGATTGTTCTGTCTATTACAGACCTTCTCTTAACACCTGGTCAGGCTTTCGCCATGTTTCTGCCTCTCCTCTGTCCTCAACTCTCATAACCCTGGACATGTTATTGACCAGAGGTTAGATGGACAGTGATTGTCGAAGAATCAACCAATCAGTGGACGACGATGCTGGGATTAGTGTCGCCCAGCTGCTTAATTCATGTCCCTCATTTGGACATCGGCGTGTCTCTGATGTAAGCGGAACATTAAACAGAATAAAGCCTTCAAACAGCTGCTGGTTTCCAGCCAGACCCGTTTCTGGCCGGTCCGGGTCCGGTCTGGAACTTTCCATTGTGCTGCTTTAAGCTGCTTTGTTCCAGCTGAGCTGAAATCTCTGAAATTCCTTCAGTCATGTTTTGCAGATTATTGTCCGGCTGAACTGGTCGGAGAAGGGCGGGAGTATTAATCCTGATCCGTTTCTGATCCGAGACTCCAGACACTGGTTCTGAAACAGTCAGAGGCCCCCTGGTGTCCAAGCTGGTTCCTTGCGGGTTCCCAATGCTCATTAGCATGCAGCGTTCCTGTGCAGGTGGTGCTGATGCTCTGTTCTTCTGGGTTTCCATAGCAACTGGAGGAGAAGAGTGAGGAGGAGGAGGATAAGGAGTGTCTGAGGCAGGCTATCACAGCTCTGCTTAACCTGCAGTCCAGCATGGAGAGGATCTGCTCCAGGAACCTAGCAAAGAGGAGGCTTAGGTAAGAGCACAGCTGAGAACACCTTCGTACACCAGGAGGAGCAAACTGACCATCTCTGGTAGCTCCTCCTATCCCTGACCCCCACTGTCTCCTCAAACATATCCTAAGTAGATGTTTTCCTTCTAACTAACTTTTTGTCAGCCTTTATATTGGCCGCATAGTTAACTCCTCATTGAAGCAAAGGGTCTGCTACACACAAAAACATCACCATGATTAAACTGGCAAACTGAGACAACAACATCCGTGATCATGGTTAAAATTTCTCTGATCAGTTGGAACGTGTGTTAAAACATGATAAAATTATGAATGTGATCAGACTCAGAAAACTTGTGCAGAGAATTAAAGCGTTAATGAACAGTTATCACAGTTATGATTAGTTAAAACAAGTATGAACGCTTAGAACATGGGATTAGTTCGAACATGTATGATCAGAAACATCACCATCTGACCAAAGAAATTAAGTCTGAAACCAGGTTTTTGGATGGTTCTGGTTAGTTCTAGTGGTGAAGAAAAAAATCGATTTGAGCTCAAATCGCATTTCTAACGTTTAAAGATTCAGAATCGATTCTTATTTTCTTTAAAAACGATTTTTTTTTTCTGGGTGTGGATGTGCCTTATCAGGCACCGTGGTGTTTGGCGAAACCAATGAGCAGCGTGAGCTATGCACAGGCATGCAAGCGTTAGCCTAGCAGGCTAGATGTTTTGTGAGCTACTGTGTTTACTGCCGCTAAAGTATGGAGGACAAAGAAAAAGAAATTCAACCGCCTCCGCGGACTTTAAAAGCAACCATTTGGAAACACTTTGGATTTTACCTTCAACCCGGTAAGAAAGGGCTTGACATGACTCATGCTATTTGCCGAGATTGCAACGGTAAAGTTAAGCATTTTGGGAGTACTTCAAATCCCTGTTCTCATCACAAAAGACATCACCCAGAGTTTGTTTTGAATCGTAAATTAATTGTTTCTGAATCGAATGGTTTGGATTTAAAAGAATTGGAAAAAAATCGAATTGTGACCCCAAGAATCGATTCTAAATCGAATTGTGGGAATCCCAAAGATTCACGGCCCTAGTTAATACCGGAGTTCAGGTCTCTAGAATGACTCGTGGTCTTACAGAACCATCTCTCTAGTTCTGACCAAGCAGAACCCAGGAACAGCCTCAGGATCTGCAGCTGAGCAGCCAGCAGGGCCCCTCCCATCCTCTGTTTCCCGTTGGATCAAAATAAACCAGGAGGTGGTAGGGGGGTAGGAGGACAGGGCTGGGTGGTGCCGGTGTTGACAGGAAGCTCCGGCAGGCTGGGGGCGGAGCTTCCAGGCTGCTTATTGTTCTCAGTCAGAAAAGAGCTCAGAGGAGTAGAGAGAAAAACCTGCAGCTGGTCCAAAAGGTTTGAGAATCGGATCACGGAGGAGACGGGGACGAGGAGGACAGATGGACAGGTGGAGATGCGGACGTAGGTTGGGCTTCATGTTCTTTGTGTTTCTGTCTGTGGGCAATAGTGGGGGGCTGTTTAAACCTGTTGGGGTCAATTCAGAACCCTGAAAAGATCCATTCTGACCTGGGGTCATACCTGGACCTGGAGATCCTGAGTTCTTTATTTATCTCTCAGATCATTTGTTTTCCTCACCATCTTGTCTCGACCTTTAACCTTTGACCTTCTAACTGAGGCATGTAAAGTTTGAGGTGGAGCTCTTTGGGTTTTTGGTAATTTCTCTGAGCTTCTCACTCTGATTCTACTCAGAACCCTTCGATCCTGTGCCGATCAACTGCTGTCTGAGATGTAATTGACCTTAGGCACTTTGGAGATGACCTTCTGACCAACCAGAGGAAGTTTGATTCAGAGCTATGACAGCGGGAGTAATTACATCTGAATCAGAGGTGGTTCTGTAGGCTTCTAATCAGAACCATAATGGCGGATGTACTCTGTTTTGCTTGCGCTTCTGAAATCCTTTGCTGGCTGGACACACAAACAGCGTCATCAGAACTTCGACCCACAAAGCCGGTTAGTGAGCAGATGTGGGCCTGCGACTGCCTCCTCGCCACCGTATCTGTTATTTTTACAGACCGGCATCCTGATAGGAACCTGAATCATTCCCTAAACAGAACCTGTGCCTCTGATAAGATAATCAGCATTGTAATTCTGTGTCTGGGCCACTTTCTTTCCCTGGATGATGTCAGTTACGAGTCGGGTTGAGAAAATAATCCATATCTTGATATAATCAACGCTAAAAAGAAATCAAATATCAAAGCTATTTTTTTATTGAGGTGATTCACTTTCAAGAAGATGTTACCTTTAGCTCCATAAAAGATCTAAGAAATAGTTTCTTCTCTACATTATATTTCTGAGATTCAAGCCAGAAGAAAACCGTGAAGCAAAACGAGAGAAAACATAAAAAGTATATGAGGCCTTGTTTCCGACTTAAGACGCAGTTATGCATGATCCATGTACGTTTCCACACGGAGACAAAGGCTAGGTTCACACTGCAGGCCTTGATGCCTAATTCCGATTTTTTTCTTTTCTTTCTGAAACCTGATTTTTTTGTGTTGCCGTTCACATTTCCAGATATATGCGACTTGTATGTGATCTCCTGTGTAAACTGCAGTCGTACAACCCAAGTGTCTCGCATGCGCAGTAGAGGACGCGATGACGTCACAGGTTAGCGTGCTCTGTGTTTACGGAGGTAAACATGGATGGTAGCGCTGAAGCGCATCCAGCGATCTTTCCCAACCATAAAAAAAAATCACATTTTTAAGATTTCTTGCCGCTTCTTCATACCAAAACGCAGAATAGTGACCTTTGTCGGGTATTAATGACGTTCAGGTCGGATGAACACGACCTGGCCGTTCAGACACAGGTCGCATTTGAAAAGATCAGATTCGTATCGGATTCAGGACCACAGAGCCAAGTGGCCTGGATTGCATTGGAAAAAATCGGATCTGTGTTGTTCAGACATCCATGAAAGGATCAGATACAGGTTGCATCGGATACAGGTTGCATTGGATTTGGGTCACTTCAGGTTGCCGTGTGAACGTAGCCATAGTCTGCAGCTTTTGTCTCTGTGCAGCTTTTCTACTTTTCCCTAATATTCTGGCCGACTCCAGGGCTCCGTGTAGCACACAGACAGCAAGCTGACACCACCACACTCCATGAGGAAGATTTCCAACCTCACCCTGTCATCCAAGAGGGACAAAGGTTTCTTCCCACAAGTTTTTCTCAATGTGTTGATCGTAGTGATAGTTATCGGCTAAATCGAAATATGTTTTAGAAGTTTATTTAGCTAAACCCTCACTGGTTGGAGCTATTACTTATCCACCATGTTTTTCTATGCACTTACAAACATTCCTCGGAGAGTGGAGCAGAAATTCTGGCCATGGGGAGGGGAGTGGGATCTATAGGATGTAACTCTGCCCTCCTTCCTTTAAGGAAGCAGAGGGGCTCAAAAGTAGAGATCGACCAATACAGGTCGCTAGCGATTATTTTGCCAGTAGTCAAATCAATCACTGAATAATGCCAATTATTTGTGAGTGACGATTTTTGAATCCAGATTTCTCCATTTGCATGATAAGAATTATTCAATGATAAGAAAATTTACACAAGTTTCAATTGATGTCTCGCAGCTGACATCAAAGATGTTTGAATTTACATGTGGCTATATTGAGTACCCACTTTGGTTCCCTGATGGGTTGTGTATAAGATATATAGATCTTGAAAGGCACAATCTGGAAGCATTGACTTTTTTATGGATCGCAAACCAATAACTCAGATTTTCTCTGTGTATCTTTTAACCAAGCGGGAATATAATGATAGGAAGCGCCACAGAGCTAAGCTAAGCGTTTGGTACTCAAGACGGAGGTCGTAAGATAAAACCATCATGACGTCACACTTCTGAAATCTCAAAAAAAAAAAGCTTTATAAAAAAAAATCATACATAACATTAACAATGGATAGCATATGGAGGGAATGCAGTAGAGAATCTCTACTCTGAAGTCATTTGGAGGTCGCCACTTTTCTTCTGGTCAGATCAGTTAAATATGTGTTTAGCATTAGTGGACCTAGAAAAATGCTGGTAAATGATACGGAACGATGGCAGGCGAGCACAAGTGCGCCACTTACTGGCTGGGAGGAGGTAAACTTGAAGGTATTACCTTCAATTAGTCAAAACTCATTTGCATCAAATATTGCACTACTTTTTGCTGCAGTGCAGCGCTAACAGAGACTGTTCCTCTGTTCCCTCCAGCTCAACCAGACCATAATAATTCTGGACGTAAAGGCTCCAAAAATATCAAGAAAAGACTAAATTCACAAGCAACCCTCTTTGTCGACTAGACAACGATAAAAACATTGCAGGGAGGAACTTTCCTGTAAAGCAAATTAACAAAACACTGAGCAGTGCTACATGCTAAGCTAACACCACAGCCCTATTTTTTGGGAGAAACGTAAAGGAACAAAGGCAGTGGGAAATGAACAAATGTGAGTAAAGCTCTGATTTCTGCAGCCGTGGCATAGTAAACCTTCCAGCTAGGCTAACGTTTGCTGTTGTTGGGTACAGACGACTCACTGAGAAGATTTAGTTCTGAACCCAGCAGCGCTACGTTATGCTGTGGTCCAAAACAATGCAGGAACATGTTAATGAGCCGAGAGTTCAGCCAGATGATAAACAGAAAAGCAACAAACCAATGCACATCTTTGCACTCCTCCTTTTGGTTATAAAGTTACTGGAGGCTATGGGTCACCGGCAGCCTGATCCTAAACCTGCATTCCCACCCAGATTAACCCAATCTCATAAAGAATCCACAATAACAGAATCACTGTGCACTGCTGCAGTTTTCGCCTGTAGACTACCAGTCAAAGGAACCAAACCATTGTCAACAAAACCTGTTCCCATCATGGAACATATTAGTTGGGATGTAATGACCGGGGCAGAGCAGTTACTAGTTATAGAGCCGTACAGGAAGGCACAGAGGAAAATAACAGATTTTCCTTTATTGTCCCACAGTTGGAAACTTCAGGTGTGTCAATGGGAAAGCAGAAAGGTGAACGAAAGGAAACTTTCCCTCTTCAACAGCCTCCACAGCCACTCCTTTAATTCCTGTTGTGTTTCAACGGATTAATAGCAGTAGATGATCAGCTTTAAATTCAGTTACTTGTATGAATTATTATTATTATTGTTCTTCGTACTGGATCAGTAGATCTCATATCCGATAACTACGGCACAAACAGAATGTGTTTTTTGTCCACATTTTGTGAAAATAGAAAAGTAATAAAAATCAGTCTGCATTTACAGGGAATTACTAACTCCTGTCAATTTATTGGCAGATATTTATATTAGGTTAAAGATGATTAGGCAGTGGAGTCGATTGTAGGATCCTGCAGATGAGAGACCAGGGCCCAGACTCTACTTACTTGGATTATCATTAAAAGCATGTCTTAGAAATGCACAAGTGATAGTTTGATGATTTTTTTAATCATTAGTACTTTATTTAAATATTTTTATTACTAAACTGCAGCATATCAGTTTATAATCAGTATCAAACTAACTTAAAATGTTGTTTTATTTGAAAATCTCAGATTATATTTCTCTGTACATGCAGTGTTTACCACTTTAAATTCAATTTCAGCTGCAAACAGATATTTAGGTTAGCCTAGCTCTGTCAGCAGAGCTCTGTCGCTCTGAAAACTCCACATTTTGAAGCAAGGCAATAAGTTACATGAACTATCTGCACAAAGGCAGTAAAGGGACTTTCTTGCTTTTTTCCATCTTTCTTAAAAATATATTAAAACAACTTTTTTGTATTAAGGGAACAAAATGTATACATTTTCATTGGTGGCTGAATGTTTTGCTGTGCTGCTCACAACCCCACCCGTTTAACATAAATGGAGTTGAATGCTCCTACGTATGAGCAGGCATTCAATTAAATTATCCATGTAATTCAAACAGACCCGAAGCGTTTTCTCACATGCAATAAAAAGGGACTATAGACTTTTTCTAGAAGAAGTTCCAGCAGAGACTCTACTTCCTGAAGCGACTCCAGCGTTCCACAGGAGCTGCTGGTTTAACACCCAAAATTTCCGGCTGTGACCCCAAAAAACAAGGACACCACCTGGAGACCTTCTAAAAATATATTTAATTGTTCAACTCTGTATGTATTTATACAGATAAAATAAAGTAATTGAATTAAATGGAGTAATTTTAATTTAAAAAGTTTTTAATAAAAAAATATTAATTTAAAAAAAAAATTTTGTAATTACATTTAATTATTTTATACTTTTAAACATAAATCTGATGTCAAATGGGATTGCTGGTACTTGTATTATATAACTGTCTTATAAGGCAACATACACTCACCGGCCACTTTATTAGGTACACCTGTCCAACTGCTCGTTAACACTTAATTTCTAAGCAGTCAATCACATGGCGGCAACTCAGTGCATTTAGGCATGTAGACATGGTCAAGACAATCTCCTGCAGTTCAAACCGAGCATCAGTATGGGGAAGAAAGGTGATTTGAGTGACTTTGAACGTGGCATGATTGTTGGTGCCAGAAGGGCTGGTCTGAGTATTTCAGAAACTGCTGATCTACTGGGATTTTCACGCACAACCATCTCTAGGGTTTACAGAGAATGGTCCGAAAAAGAAAAAAACATCCAGTGAGCGGCAGTTCTGTGGGCGGAAATGCCTTGTTGATGCCAGAGGTCAGAGGAGAATGGCCAGACTGGTTCGAGCTGATAGAAGGGCAACAGTGACTCAAATAACCACCCGTTACAACCAAGGTGAGCAGAAGAGCATCTCTGAACGCACAGTACGTCGAACTTTGAGGCAGATGGGCTACAGCAGCAGAAGACCACACCGGCTGCCACTCCTTTCAGCTAAGAATAGGAAACTGAGGCTACAATTTGCACAAGCTCATCGAAATTGGACAATAGAAGATTGGAAAAACGTTGCCTGGTCTGATGAGTCTCGATTTCTGCTGCGACATTCGGATGGTAGGGTCAGAATTTGGCGTCTACAACATGAAAGCATGGATCCATCCTGCCTTGTATCAAAGGTTCAGGTTGGTGGTGGTGGTGTCATGGTGTGGGGAATATTTTCTTGGCACTCTTTGGGCCCCTTGGTACCAATTAAGCATCGTTGCAACGCCACAGCCTACCTGAGTATTGTTGCTGACCATGTCCATCCCTTTATGACCACAATGTACCCAACTTCTGATGGCTACTTTCAGCAGGATAATGCGCCATGTCATAAAGCTGGAATCATCTCAGACTGGTTTCTTGAACATGACAATGAGTTTACTGTACTCAAATGGCCTCCACAGTCACCAGATCTCAATCCAATAGAGCATCTTTGGGATGTGGTGGAATGGGAGATACGCATCATGGATGTGCAGCTGACAAATCTGCGGCAACTGTGTGATGCCATCATGTCAATATGGACCAAACTCCCTGAGGAATGCTTCCAGCACCTTGTTGAATCTATGCCACGAAGAATTGAGGCAGTTCTGAAGGCAAAAGGGGGTCCAACCCGTTACTAGCATGGGGTACCTAATAAAGTGGCCGGTGAGTGTATTAACACTAGTATTGATTTAACATTGGGGAGTGGCGGTCTAGAGGTTAGAGCATAGAGGTTCTGCCCCCCTCCCACAGACTGCCACTCTGGGTCCCTGAGACCCTTAACCCCCACACTGCTCCCCAGGCACCCCACAATGGCAGCCCTCTGCTCCCCAAGGGGATAGAAATTTCTCCAATGTAAGATCAATGAAGTTCAATTATTGTTCATCATCATTAAAATTAAGCAGCAAAAAATGAAGTAATAGTAGTTAATGGCGGCTGTAAGGACAGTGGAAAATGTTTTCCTAAAAATAGTAATTAATATGAGAGTTGATTTAGGATATTGACTCTCAAATTTCCAGAATTTTTCGATTCTGGAAAAATGATAATTTTATTACTTTAGCAACTGAAATGTCTGATGAGCACACAAATTCCGGACAGAGGTTTTCAGACCTTTACCTTGAGGACGGCGCTACAGAGCAGTTCTTCTCCAAGACATTCTCTATAATATAACTGTTGAATGTCTCACAGCCATTGAAACATTTAGGGTATTTGCACTATTACAAAATAAAAGCACAGTTAACATCCTACTGTCATCCTGTTTTTAATGGTGTGAGCTTACAAACTGATTCAGGGATGCAAGTTATCTATTTAGTTAATCTAAAAGCGACTTATCTTATTGATCGACTAACAGTTATTGATAAGTGGCAATTTTTCCTTCTTCTGTATCAAGATGATCTTTCAAGTTCTTACAGTAGTTAAAAACGGGAACCTCAAATTTTAAAACGTTTTAGTGCCATTTGATAAAATGCTTACCAAATTAACCAAAAAAAATTTTTTTTCGCCTATTATTCAACTTAAACATATTTTTAAAAGTAACTTATCAGAACTGTTCGGTTACCTAGTACAAAAAATAAGGGGAAGAGAATAAAATACGTGAAGCACATTTAATCCTAAATTCACAGAGATGTTAAACTAATTTAAAGATGGAGTAACATTAAAGCCTTACGTTAACTTAAACTTTTCAGGAATATTTGAAATACTATGGTTTGTTTTTTAAGAAAACTGTCACAGGTTCGGGAAACTGAACTGTATATTTTTAATGGACTCCTCTTCGTATTGATCCACCTTAACCCATGTAAAGAAGGTTCGCCTCAGTCTAATCAGACATCATCAGTTAACCAGTATTTAAAATTAATCATTAGTCAATCATTTCATATCCTCCCCGGTATAATGGCAAGTAAAAAGAACAATAATTGCATTAACACATAGCTTTGCAATCAGAAACCAGGAACATTAATGGCAGCTATTGGTGAAAAAGCAGACATAAGACAATAGGTTGATTCAACTGGAAAAAATATATATTTCCTTACATATAAACACTAAAGATTCAATTGAATCAAAATATATCAGGCAAACACATAAACACTGATAATTTTGACTTTTTTTAGTCCTTCAGTCTTTTTCCTCTAATTGTGGGTAAACTTCTAACTAACACTGGTTCTCTGTTTATGCTGCTAATTATGTGATTGAGCTTTTTCTAATTCAGAACTAAAAAAAAAAAGGCTCCTAGAAAAAACGGAATCAGTTTACAGAAGAACAGGAAAACAAAATTTCAAAAACAAATATGCTAAAATCTAACAGTTGGAAGGAAGGATTTGGGGGTCGCTAAAGGACGGAGCTCATTTTGAAACCTCTCAGCTGCTGCTCCGACTTAAAACGCCCCCGAAGGCATCTGACCCTCAGCTCCCACAGCTGGAGGACGAGGAGCAGTAGGGGAAACCAAGCTTTTCTCTGACCGTACCGTTTCATTTCTCTCCCCCCGCAGTGAGTCGGCGTGTCGTTTCTACAGCCATCAGATGAAGGGGAAGCACCTCGCCATCAGGAAGATGAACGAGATCCAGAAGAACATCGACGGATGGGAGGGGAAAGACATCGGCCAGTGCTGCAACGAGTTCATCATGGAGGGCACGCTGACCCGCGTCGGTGCCAAACACGAGCGCCACATCTTCCTGTTCGACGGACTCATGATCTGCTGCAAGTCCAACCACGGGCCTCCTCGGCTGCCCGGCGCCGGCTCCACCGCCGAGTATCGCCTCAAAGAGAAGTTCCTTATGCGCAAAGTGCAGATCAACGACAAGGACGACAAGGAGGGCGAGTACCGGCACGCCTTCGAGATCATCCTGAAGGACGGGAACAGCGTGGTGTTTTCGGCCAAATCCGCAGAGGAGAAGAACGGCTGGATGGCGGCGCTGATTTCGCTGCAGTACCGCAGCACGCTGGAGCGCATCCTGGACAAAGCTCTGCTGCAGGAGAAGGAGGAGCAGATGAAGCTACCGTCGGCCGAGGAGTACAGCTTCGCCGAGCCAGACTCGGAGGAGAACGTGGTGTTTGAGGAGAACATCCAGTCCAAGTCTGGGATTCCCATCATCAAAGCCGGGACGGTCCTCAAACTGATTGAGAGGCTGACCTATCACATGTACGCAGGTGAGACATCTGCTGGAGCTGGTATCCAACCAGTCCTCCGATCAGAACTTCAACTAGGAGCTCAGAGCTGAACCAGGTTGAGGCCAGTGCTGGGTTTGGCCTCTGATGAGTTCTCTGCCGTGTTTTTACAGATCCGAACTTCGTCCGGACCTTCCTGACCACCTACAGGTCGTTCTGTAAACCCCGGGAGCTGCTGGACCTGCTCATGAAGAGGTGAGTTCACCTGCGGAGTGCTAGGGGCCAATCAGACCAGGGGAAGGTTTCAAATGGTGTGAAGTCATGTTTCACTCACAGTTAACATCAGGTGACATTTCCATGGAGTCTCTTTCCCTTATGCTACGTTCAAAGCACGTGCAGCAGAGGCCGTAAAACTGGTGTGCTGCTTCATTTGTGATGCTTGTACAAGTTTAGTTCTGAGATGTGGCTGAAGCATCTTTGCTGCTCTAGCTGCGCGGTGGAAAAGTGGGTCTGATGCATGTTGGACGGAGCTATCCTATCCTTTCTTTGCCTGTAACAATGTCAGCTATATTGGCTGTGATCAGTGGGTAAAAAGTAGATTTAAAATGTTTTAAAGTGAGAAAGTCTGCCGGAAAACTTCATCTGTGCAGTCAGTTTATCCAGATTACCAGCCTGGTTTTAAATATTGTTTCTGTCGGAGGCGCTCAGACCCCCGTATACCGTCGGAGGTCTGTCACCTGTAACCCTGTTAAACAGCAGCCTCTGGCCTAGTCGCCTCTTTGCAGTTTTCCCCTAGTGTTCACAGCGACTGGAAGGTGTTTTTCACGTATGTTATCCAAACTGCAGGCACCAGAATAGTAAAAATCAAACATATTTTACCGACAGGTACCTTAAAAAACATTAAATGCTAGGCGTTAATAAACTGTTTCAGAGGAGTAATCACAGTGATATGCATGAGCAGCACTGTGTCTGTCTCTCGTACAGCTTTAGATCAGCTTCTCTGATTGGTTGATGTGGCTTGTTGAGCAGCAAAAGTTAAATTTTTCCAACTCTAAGCTCATCGCACGTGTCAGAAGCTCAGAAGTTAACAACACACTTCTTCAGCTGCTCAGATGCGCTTCTTCAGCTGCTCAGACGCTCTGCTTCATCTGCTCAGACGCTCTGCTTCAGCTGCTCAGACGCTCTGCTTCAGCTGCTCAGACGCTCTGCTTCAGCTGCTCTGACGCGCTTCTTCAGCTGCTCAGACGCTCTGCTTCATCTGCTCAGACGCTCTGCTTCAGCTGCTCAGACGCTCTGCTTCAGCTGCTCAGACGCTCTGCTTCAGCTGCTCTGACGCGCTTCTTCAGCTGCTCAGACGCTCTGCTTCATCTGCTCAGACGCTCTGCTTCAGCTGCTCAGACGCTCTGCTTCAGCTGCTCAGACGCTCTGCTTCAGCTGCTCTGACGCGCTTCTTCAGCTGCTCAGACGCTCTGCTTCATCTGCTCAGACGCTCTGCTTCAGCTGCTCAGACGCCCTGCTTCAGCTGCTCAGACGCTCTGCTTCAGCTGCTCTGACGCGCTTCTTCAGCTGCTCAGACGCTCTGCTTCATCTGCTCAGACGCTCTGCTTCAGCTGCTCTGACGCGCTTCTTCAGCTGCTCAGACGCTCTGCTTCATCTGCTCAGACGCTCTGCTTCAGCTGCTCAGACGCTCTGCTTCAGCTGCTCAGACGCTCTGCTTCAGCTGCTCAGACGCTCTGCTTCATCTGCTCAGACGCTCTGCTTCATCTGCTCAGATGCTCTGCTTCAGCAGCTCAGACGCTCTGCTTCAGCTGCTCAGACGCTCTGCTTCAGCTGCTCAGACGCTCTGCTTCAGCTGCTCAGACGCTCTGCTTCAGCTGCTCAGACGCGCTTCTTCAGCTGCTCAGACGCTCTGCTTCATCTGCTCAGACGCTCTGCTTCATCTGCTCAGACGCTCTGCTTCAGCTGCTCAGACGCTCTGCTTCATCTGCTCAGACGCTCTGCTTCAGCTGCTCAGACGCTCTGCTTCAGCTGCTCTGACGCGCTTCTTCAGCTGCTCAGACGCTCTGCTTCATCTGCTCAGACGCTCTGCTTCAGCTGCTCTGACGCGCTTCTTCAGCTGCTCAGACGCTCTGCTTCATCTGCTCAGACGCTCTGCTTCAGCTGCTCAGACGCTCTGCTTCAGCTGCTCAGACGCTCTGCTTCATCTGCTCAGACGCTCTGCTTCATCTGCTCAGACGCTCTGCTTCATCTGCTCAGACGCTCTGCTTCAGCAGCTCAGACGCTCTGCTTCAGCTGCTCAGACGCTCTGCTTCAGCTGCTCAGACGCTCTGCTTCAGCTGCTCAGACGCTCTGCTTCAGCTGCTCAGACGCTCTGCTTCAGCTGCTCAGACGCGCTTCTTCAGCTGCTCAGACGCTCTGCTTCATCTGCTCAGACGCTCTGCTTCATCTGCTCAGACGCTCTGCTTCAGCTGCTCAGACGCTCTTCTTCAGCTGCTCAGACGCGCTTCTTCAGCTGCTCAGACGCTCTGCTTCAGCTGCTCAGACGCTCTGCTTCAGCTGCTCAGACGCTCTGCTTCATCTGCTCAGACGCTCTGCTTCAGCTGCTCAGACGCTCTTCTTCAGCTGCTCAGACGCGCTTCTTCAGCTGCTCAGACGCTCTGCTTCATCTGCTCAGACGCTCTGCTTCAGCTGCTCAGACGCTCTGCTTCAGCTGCTCAGACGCTCTGCTTCAGCTGCTCTGACGCGCTTCTTCAGCTGCTCAGACGCTCTGCTTCATCTGCTCAGACGCTCTGCTTCAGCTGCTCAGACGCTCTGCTTCAGCTGCTCAGACGCTCTGCTTCAGCTGCTCAGACGCTCTGCTTCATCTGCTCAGACGCTCTGCTTCAGCTGCTCAGACGCTCTGCTTCAGCTGCTCAGACGCGCTTCTTCAGCTGCTCAGGCGCTCTGCTTCATCTGCTCAGACGCTCTGCTTCATCTGCTCAGACGCTCTGCTTCATCTGCTCAGACGCTCTGCTTCAGCTGCTCAGACGCTCTGCTTCAGCTGCTCAGACGCGCTGCTTCAGCTGCTCAGACGCTCTGCTTCAGCTGCTCAGACGCGCTGCTTCAGCTGCTCAGACGCTCTGCTTCAGCTGCTCAGACGCTCTGCTTCAGCTGCTCAGACGCGCTTCTTCAGCTGCTCAGACGCTCTGCTTCATCTGCTCAGACGCTCTGCTTCAGCTGCTCAGGCGCTCTGCTTCATCTGCTCAGACGCTCTGCTTCATCTGCTCAGACGCTCTGCTTCATCTGCTCAGACGCTCTGCTTCAGCTGCTCAGACGCTCTGCTTCAGCTGCTCAGACGCTCTGCTTCAGCTGCTCAGACGCTCTGCTTCAGCTGCTCAGACGCTCTGCTTCAGCTGCTCAGACGCGCTTCTTCAGCTGCTCAGACGCTCTGCTTCAGCTGCTCTGACGCGCTTCTTCAGCTGCTCAGACGCTCTGCTTCAGCTGCTCAGACGGGCTTTTTCAGCTGCTCAGACGCTCTGCTTCAGCTGCTCAGACGCTCTGCTTCAGCTGCTCAGACGCTCTGCTTCAGCTGCTCAGACGCTCTGCTTCAGCTGCTCAGACGCTCTGCTTCAGCTGCTCAGACGCTCTGCTTCAGCTGCTCAGACGCTCTGCTTCAGCTGCTCTGACGCGCTTCTTCAGCTGCTCAGACGCTCTGCTTCAGCTGCTCAGACGCGCTTCTTCAGCTGCTCAGACGCTCTGCTTCAGCTGCTCAGACGCTCTGCTTCATCTGCTCAGACGCTCTGCTTCATCTGCTCAGACGCTCTGCTTCAGCTGCTCAGACGCTCTGCTTCAGCTGCTCAGACGCTCTGCTTCAGCTGCTCAGACGCGCTTCTTCAGCTGCTCAGACGCTCTGCTTCAGCTGCTCAGACGCTCTGCTTCAGCTGCTCAGACGCTCTGCTTCAGCTGCTCAGACGCTCTGCTTCATCTGCTCAGACGCTCTGCTTCAGCTGCTCAGACGCTCTGCTTCAGCTGCTCAGACGCTCTTCTTCAGCTGCTCAGACGCGCTTCTTCAGCTGCTCAGACGCTCTGCTTCAGCTGCTCAGACGCTCTGCTTCAGCTGCTCAGACGCGCTTCTTCAGCTGCTCAGACGCTCTGCTTCAGCTGCTCAGACGCGCTTCTTCAGCTGCTCAGACGCGCTTCTTCAGCTGCTCAGACGCTCTGCTTCAGCTGCTCAGACGCTCTGCTTCAGCTGCTCAGACGCTCTGCTTCAGCTGCTCAGACGCTCTGCTTCATCTGCTCAGACGCTCTGCTTCATCTGCTCAGACGCTCTGCTTCAGCTGCTCAGACGCGCTTCTTCAGCTGCTCAGACGCGCTTCTTCAGCTGCTCAGACGCGCTTCTTCAGCTGCTCAGACGCGCTTCTTCAGCTGCTCAGACGCTTCTTCAGCTGCTCAGACGCTTCTTCAGCTGCTCAGACGCGCTTTTTCAGCCTCTCAGACGCGCTTTTTCAGCCTCTCAGACGCGCTTTTTCAGCTGCTCAGATGCGCTTCTTCAGCTGCTCAGATATGCTGCGGGACCTTTTACTGCGCTTTGATGCGTATCAACCATTGATTTTGCATGTGAACAAGCTGCCTTTAGGTGTGAACGTAGCATTTTTTAAATGATGAAAACAGACAGAAGGTAGCATCGGAGAACCGGACCTGAGTTTATCACAACTTTTGCCTTGAATCATTTTCTTCTGTGAGTGGGTGCTGTTTATTTAGGTCTTCTGGTGTGTTTTGTTAACTATTAAACAGCAAATAAAATAAACATTGTCCGGAGGCTGGTTACAGGAAAAAGTCAATTTAGTCCTTACATCCAGACAAAATCCAAGTCATTCCTATTAGGGATGGAACGGTTTATGAAAACCGTCCGAACCGTTCGGTTCGACTGTCTCGGTTCAGTTCGCGTGTGTTGCGTTCGGTTCATGCGCTGCTCCTTTTTCTCATAGGCGAAGCGTATACACTCCAGATCGACCAAAGCCAACCACCTGTAGTAAACAAGAAGAAGAAGAAGCGAAGCAGCGTAGCCGGGTGTAGCAGAAAAAAATCAGTTGTTGTGGAGAATTGTGTGGGTATGGCGATTGGGAAAGAACAGGAGTTGGAAGACGCGCCAGCAGCACTTTATAGGTCTGCTGTATGGGACCACTTTGCATTTAGAGTGACCTACGATGACGGCGGAAAGAAAGTTGTGGACAAAAGTGCAACAGTGTGCAAGCATTGTGCAACACGTTTTGTTTATGCTAACAGCAACATGACCAACATGTCAGGCTAACCCCGAAATCCCTCATACTCCGTCAGCACTCCGCTCCGCCGCGCTACAGACCGCATGCACAAAGCAAAGCCTACAGCCCCCACTGTGGCTCCCGTCCGCTCCGCTCTGAGTTCCTTGGAGATCGTAGAGGGCATGCGCGAGATGATTAAATTTAAAGCAGCAAAACATGCGGAAATGATCCAGCAGAGCTAGGCTGTTTAAACAGCCTTCTGCCTAAACTGTTAGGGAGATTTAGAAACACTGCAGAAACATGAAGGGAACACAGAAACACAGATCCACAGGTACTTTCTGCCTGAGAGAAATTTGGTTATTTGTAGTAGAAGCTTCTTTAGTGGCTTCATCAATGAGAGAAACAAAACTGAACCAGGGAGGATGTCACTGTAAAATTTCAGCCAGTAGAAAGAGGCAACCACTGAGAGACAGAACCAAGAGGAGGGAGAACGGGAAGCAGCGGTTCGGCTGATGCCATCCTCAGAACTGTGAAGAGAGGAAACAAATACCCCATTTACACTACCCTTGAAAAACCGTTCCGAGACCGGTCCGAGCTCAGTAACTGAGATAACTTATCATGTGTAAATGGAAAGCAAACTGAACAGAACCGAGCTAGACACAACCGAAACGAGATAACTGCAGACCAGTTCCAGAGGTGGGCTCGGCTCGGTTTTTCCCTGGCTCGGTTCTCCGATAACAAGAGAGCATGAGCAGAACGCATCATCTCCGTCTGGCTGCACATCCTGATTCACACTCCATTCCTGTAGTTGGCGGTAATGCCCCTCCGGAAGTTGCTTGCCAACCAAAACAAAACAGAAGTAGAACAACAACTATAAACAACAATCGAAATCTTCTCCACGCAACATTTTAAATAATGGCATTTTAAACAATAACACCGAAGTACAGCATTAATAATCAAGCATAACTTTCTGAATGTGACGGGCGCCGCAATTTTGATTTGCTTAATTCCCTCCTTTATCATCTTCTTCTTGTGTTTTATGGCGGCTGGCAAACAACTTTTGGTGCATTACCGCCACCAACTGCTTGATTTCCTCCTTCAGTACTGGCAGTAATACCGCAGAGGCGGTGTCACTAGGAGGCGAGGAACCGAGATAAAGTGTTGTGTAAACGGTCGTCAGAACCGAGCTCGGCCTGGTTAACTGATCCGAGCTTGGACCGGTATCGGCATTGATTGGTTTTGCAAGGGTAGAGTAAATGGGGTAAAAGAGAACATGAAGTAGAATTAGCGGGAATAACTGATAATAAGAAAGTAGTTGCTTCATCAATCTGCTTCTGTTGAGTCTTAAAGCCGCCCAGACTTTAAACAATGATGCGGTTTGGTCCTCAGTGGTTCCTGTGATCAGCGGTGCAAACTGACAAAGGGAAAGTCGATTTTTTTTAAAAACCACCATTCGCTTTGAGGCTCTCTACCCTGAAGTTCTCCCTGAACCGTCTCCAGTTGCTACTGCTGCCAACAGGAGTTGGTAAGAGGGAGCAGATCCCACTCAGAGGGACAGAGTTTTAGTGCTGCTGCCCCCTGTAGGTGGAATAATCCTTATTTAGAAACTAACAATGGACTTTCTACTTATTCTACTTAATCTGAGACTGTTTTTTTTATCAGTTTTTTTGTTCTCATTTTAAACCGCCTGTTCTTTGTGTTCTTTATTATTATTATTTTTTTTATTCTTTTCTATTTGCACCAGTTTTCATGGATTTTTAAAGTGCTTTATAAATTAATAAAGTATACCCAGTAGCCAGTTGGTTGCCAGTTTAAATCCCTGTTTTGTTTCATTTGTCATTGGTGGGACTTGGTATATTTCTATTTTTATGTATTTTATGAGATATCACTGTGGAGTAAAAAATGAGCACTGAGAGTTGATATGCAAGAAAGAAAACATTTTATTTTACTCTGCAGAGGAGAATGGCACAAACCAGCTGAATACAGCTGAGTGTGATTCTGAAGCATTCAGAAACACACCCCTACATTTAAAAAGAATCCACAGCATACACTAGGGGTGTAAATAATAACCGTTTTGTATCGATACATCGATCCAACAGCCGATGATACGATGCATTGACACGTCCGCAAGAGTATCGATTCATGTTTTTTTCCCCCTCTGGTCTATTTTTATCTATTTGCTCCTGGACGTAATTCTCCCTCCCGTGCTGCGGTGGCGCTAAACCTATTTTGCCCTCCTACCTCGCTTACTGGTTATACTCTTACAGAAGTGTGTTGCAGCAAGCTTGACACTGACATTTTTAAATGTCAGTGTCAAGCTCTGTATTGAAGCGTGGTCTGTGCTACAGGCTGTGGGTCTAGATACAGCTGAGGCGGCGAGGAAGTGGGGGCGAGTCTAGTCCGACGACGGAGGGACATGAGGGCCAAAAAGGGCGGAGATCCAGGTGGAAAAAGGGTCCCATCGTTCTCGTGCACCTCACTCTTCTAGCGGGTAAAATTTCACGAGTTGTTTTCCGCAATTTCGGTCATAAAAACAAACCAAGCCGGCCTCCTGTCTGCGGCACTCTCTGCGGTCAGCTAGAATTTGGGAGAGGAGCAGCGGAGCGTCTGTGGAGGGGGCGAGACGTCTGGAGCCGAGGTATTGAATTGCACTCATTGCACTGATATGTGCAGTATTTTTTAATGCAACTTTTCTACTTCTGTTATTTGCTGTTGTTTCTAAAAAAAAATGCATAACAATATTACAGCTTTCATTGATTTATCTCAAACTTGAAACTTTGTTTAGCCTGTAAGGTCTAAAAAAATTTTTTTTTTAATTAATCGATTAATCGAATCGAATCATGGTGTATTCTTGAGTATCGAAATAATCGAATCGTTGGGTCAGGAAATCGATCTTGAATCGAATCGCCATGATGAGTGTGATTTACACCCCTAGCATACATACACACATGAACATTGAATATTCCCAAGAGAAACACTTTAGTTCATCAAAGGACATACATTTACTCAGATAAACATTTCAGACAACTGTTTTCTGTTCACACCAGAAACAGGACGGGAGAACGATAAGGGCATACATTTTAACCATAGCATGAAGGAGGCTTTGTGAACTCATTATTTCTAATGACCTTCCCCTCACCCTTAGAGTAGGGAGGGGAGGCACCTGCTTTCTGTCCCCCGAAACAGTACAGCATAGTGAATGGTACAAGATTTCTCTATTACTTCTGTTCAAACATTTTATCACACAAAATAGGCCAAGGAAAAACCTTGATTCCACATCACATTTCTCATTTTATATTTCTTGTATCATATCTAGTGGTGGGATTCAATTAAAATGTTAAATTGCAGGGTCTGTAATTAGTTAATATATAACATTTACAGAAAACAATGTATTTATGAAATAAACTTTTCTTTTCAATTCAAAAATAATGTTTTGCTCCTAAAATTTGAGCCCAGCTACCTAGATATTTCCTGTTGGTTGAAAGTTATAACAAAGTTTTATTACAGTTGTGAAGCTGAGGTTGTACTGCAGCTGACTGAATAACGCCCAGATCTGCTGGTTTCTGACGTCTGTGTCTGTTTTCAGGTTTGAGATCCCAGAGCCAAGGTCGACTGATGCAGAGCAGATGGAGGGAGGAGAGCAGCTTCTTAGCGCCGACCTCAAACGTTTCCGTAAAGAGTTCGTTCAGCCAGTTCAGCTCAGGTACAGAGCGCCCCCAGCTGGAAGTAGCAAACCTCTGCATCTTAGCAGTCAGTGTTCAGTCCGACTATTTCTAGCATTCAGATCAGTACAGTTACAGTGCAGCTTGCTTTTGACTGTGAATCCATTGAGGTTTTAATTATAACTACTGACCTGTGACCCACATCTCCCCCTGCAGAGTTCTGAATGTGTGTCGTCACTGGGTGGAGCATCACTTCTATGATTTTGAAAGAGACCCTCACCTGCTGAGTCGACTAGAGGACTTCATCGCTTCAGTCAGAGGTTGGTACTTTGCTCAAACATCTGCATGAAGTTCAAACAGCTGCTCTGGGAGGGATGGGGTGGGGGATTCTAACAAATCATTGTCAAAGGAAAGTCACAGAACAACTTCTCCAAAACTTTTTTTCATTGTTGAGTACCGTAATTTGCGGACTATAAGCCGCGACTTTTTCCCCATTTTTCGACCTTGCGGCTTATATAACAATGAGGCTTATCTATGGACTTTTACAGCTAACGGCCACTAGCGTAATACCTAAATCTATGGATTTTACCATCCACCATGTTGACGTCACATTCAACACACAAGTACGGTAGCCGCTCGCACAGGAATGCGGAGGAAAGCAGACTTCTACCGCGAGTGGTACGAGACAGAATGACAGGGAGAAAGACGGACATTGCGAGCGCAAGACAGTTTGTGTGACACCCTCATTATGGAAAACAAACTTACCGGTTAATAAATGGGAGCTTTTATTGCACTAAACAGTAACAGTTAAGGTATGCAAATTGTGTTGAAATTAGGGCTGCAACAACGAATCGATAAAATCGATAAAAATCGACTTTTAAAAGCGTTGGCAACGAATTTCATCATCGATTAGTTGTGTTGCGCGATTAATGCGTCATCCGCCGCCGTCGGCAGCTGCTACCGTGGGGCGCTTCCCCCATCCCAACCCAGTTCTCACGCTCCCGCAAGAGTCCCTCTCAGTGCTGCAGTCAGAGCAGCAGGATGTTACCCTCAGCGTCCAGACTGCAAATGAAGCGCGCATGCGCCGGGATTGACGGCGCAAATTGATCACAATAATTAAAATAGCCTGCGCTTTGTAAAGCGAAAAAAGTCGTAACATGCAACTTTTGTAAAAACAAATTAACATAACACGGAAGCACCACTGTTATGATGCTGCACCTGAAAAGAAAACACATTGGAGCCTTCGATGGCAGTGAAGAGAGCTGATCAGCAGGGTGAGCGACCATGTTTGTTTCGTTTTAAAGTGGGGAAACGTTTAGGGCTGGGTATTGTTAAAAAAATTTCGGTTCCGGTACCAATACCGATACCTTCACTTCGATACCGGTTCCTGAACGATACTTTTTTCGATACCAGTTTTATAATATCAATTCGAAAAAAAAGAAAATTACACAACATAAAAAAGTACAAATCTTGAGTTTTATTTTAAGCTCTGTTTTTCCATTTACATTTTTCCTCTTACATAAAAAAATAAATAATTCAGTGTCTAATATTCACTGTTACATTGTGAGGACCTTTTTACTTAGCAGTTTTCCTTTAGAAAAATTACCATGTCTGACAAACAAGCCCGTTGAATGGGATCCTACTGACAGCGCACCGCTGGTATGGGGGGGGTCTGAGCGGCTCCGACAGAAATATTGAAGGCAGGATGAACTGACTGCACTGATTACGTTTTCAGGTGGATTTTCCCACTTAAAAACATAATAAAACTACTTTATTCCCACTGATCACAGCAAATATAGCTGCAAGGCAAATAAAGGATAGAGTAGCTCCGCCCAACGCGCGTCTGACCCACTTTGCGACCGCGCAGCCAGAGCAGCAAAGCTTCTTCAGCAGCGCGTCAGAAGCTGGTACAAGCAGCAAAAATGAAGCAGCAGACGAGATTTTGCTGCTTTTGCTGCGTCCAGTTTGAAAGCAGCATGATTCACTCCGCTCTGGCTTTGCTCTGCCCACGGGCTGCTGAGAGGAGGATGGTCGCGCTGGCTGCGGTCCGCTCTTCTTGCAGTCAAACACAGAGCGACTTTCTGCTCTTAAATTATTTTCGTGCACGATGTATTGCATTGTGCACTATTAGCATCAGTCTTAATAAAGTGAAGCCGCACTTTTGACCTGGGGGGCATTTTAAAGGGGTTCCGCGACGCTGCAACCAGTTCACAAAAGATACACATGAACCCTGGCTGTAGGCGTGACCACCTGTGTATTTTTCCTGGATGACGCAATCACCTTAAGTGTTCCAGCCAATCACCGAAACTTGGTACCGAAAGACGAGGCATGTTTCGATACTCTGTAGAACCGAAGCATTTCGGTCGGTACCATAAAAGTACCGAAGTTCGGTACCCAGCCCTAGAAACGTTACGTTAGTTTCTCAGGTAGCTCATCTGATGCTTTGCTTACAGTGTTAGTAGGTTACAGACAGTGATAAGGTTGGCTACTTATTTTACTTTTAATTTCATTTGAATTAGCTTAAGCAGCGTTTATATTTTCTTTATAAATAAATTAACTTGCAAATTATGAGGGCAAGGCTTTTAAAGTTTAAATCTTCTGGAAAAGATAAAGTAAAGAAGATCCTGCAATTTGTGGAAGTAAAGCAGAATAAAATCCAGCAAGATCAGTAATATGTCAATTAATTATATGCCACATTCCCATGTAAATATCTGTCTTTGGAGGATGTGTTTTTTAGCACCCCTAGTTCTCTAATTTTTATTCCAAATACAATTTATAATTTGAACCACAGGGCTATTTTTATCTCTATGGTTCAGTATTTTCTCAAGTAGCAACTTTAACTGCTATACTTTCCTGTCTTAAAAGGCAGAACTCTTCTAGTCTAAAAAAAACTAATTTGTTGAAATGGGGGGGCCTATTGTTTTAACCCCTTAGGGGCTTTTAAAAACAAAATGCCTGTCTTTTTTTTGCGCTTTATGAAACAAAGTACCCTATATTTTGTGGATGTACAGCTACATTTCTCATGTAAGTTTGCATAGTTTTAACACAAACATTTATTTTTCATATTGCACCAGTACAGTTAATGAGCAACCTGTACTTGTGTGCTTGTTTGTTCTGTCTAAAATGTTTATTTTGGAATAACGAGGTTAATATAAAAAAATATTTTTTGTCCGATTAATCGAAAAAATAATCGGCCGATTCATTGATTTTTAAAATAATCGTTAGTTGCAGCCCTAGTTGAAATGTTAATAAATAGGAGCTTCCCCGAACAGTTGCCTCTTTCCCGACAATCCTCTCTGTGCACGAACCATTTGGTAATTAAACATTAAAAAACCTGCGGCTTATAGTCCGGTGCGGCTTATAGTGCGAAAATTAAGGTAAACATTTCCAAACTTGAGGGCTCATGTGAAACAAGAAGTTAAGGAGATTTTTCACGCCTTTAAACGCTTTCATTTTGGCTATTGGGACTTTCCACAGTTATCAACAAAAACTGTCTATTTACTCTACTTTCTATTTTCTTACATTAGACACAATGTCAATGGCTAATTTAGTCAATATCTTTGAGTTAGTCCTAGATAGCCAGACTAATGTTACGCTACATAGTATACTATGGCATACATCGGCGTATATGTGGATTTTCTTGGTTAGTACATCCAGGGGCGACAGTGGCGTTGGATGTAGGAGTTTGCTCTGAAATCGAAGGATTGACGGTTCAAGCCCCGACTCCGACTTTCAGTGTTGTTGTGTCCTTGGGCAAGACACTTCACCTGCATTGTCTACTGATGGTGGTCAGAGGGCCCGGTGGCGCCAGTGTACGGCAACCCCGCTCCTGTCAGTGAGCCCCAGGGCAGCTGTGGCTACCATGTAGCTTGCCACCATTAGTGTGTGAGTGTGTGCGTGAATGGGTAAATGACTGAATGTAGCGCTTTGGTCAAGTCTCCTGACTTGAATAAAGGCGCTATATAAGTACATGCCATTTACCATTCACTGACTGTGAAATTACCTGTGAAACAACTTCCCACAGCCGGCAAACTGCTTGTTTTTGCAGCCAAATGCTAACAATTTTTACTGTGTCTCCCCATGGGAGTGGGGAGTACCAACATGAGGGACGGTGGCTTCACTTTTTTCCGGGCAATGGGCAATCCAGTGAATAAATAGAGATCAGTGGGTGTTACACGTTAACAACAATTTGTGTGATTGTTGCACACTTTGTCACATTTTATGTGTGGATCTGTGATGTGATCACTCTTTTAATCATTGGGGAGAGGAATGTGGTGTTGAGAAAACATTGAAATATTGTTTGGACTTTGATTTTAGATTCTAGTCAGCTTAGAGGCCTTTATTGATTTATCTGACAGTTCTTCATGTAAAGTTCTGCTTCAATACGATAAGCATATAAATGATCACATGCTGAGGGTGAAGTCTATCTATGATTAAAGTTTGATATGAAGTGAGACCGAGCATCACGGCGCCCTCTGCTGGGCATCAAGGTTTTCATCAGCAGATAATGCTAGCATGTGAATCTGATTGTTTCCTCTTGTTTCAGGTAAGGCCATGAGGAAGTGGGTGGAGTCCATCACTAAGATCATCCAGAGGAAGAAGCTGGTTCAGGTGAGCCTGCCCAATCACAGCATCACCTTCCAGAATTCTCCTCCGCCCATCGAGTGGCACATCTGTAAACAAGGGAACACTGAGCAGTTCGACCTCATGACTCTCCACCCCATCGAGATCGCCCGACAGCTTACTCTACTCGAGTCTGACTTCTACAGGTAACTCCTTTTTTTCCCCCGGCGAAGCATCTCTGCTGGGCTGCACCTGTCTGACCTCTGACCTCGCCCTGCAGGGCGGTGCAGCCATCGGAGCTGGTCGGCAGCGTCTGGACTAAAGAAGACAAAGAGCTCCACTCTCCCAACCTGCTGAGGATGATCCGACACACGACTAACCTCACGCTGTGGTTTGAAAAGTAAGACATGGCTGCCACATCAGCGGGTTGCCCCGGAGGCGTCGTCTGCTCAGGATCTGTCTCTCCGTCTCTTTCTGCAGGTGCATCGTGGAAACAGAGAATTTGGAGGAAAGAGTTGCTGTTGTTTCTCGGATCATTGAGATCTTGCAAGTTTTTCAGGAGCTCAATAACTTCAATGGAGTTCTGGAGGTCGTCAGCGCCATGAATTCCTCGCCTGTCTACAGACTGGACCACACCTTTGAGGTAACGTCTCCTGTCGTCAGTCAACCCTCTGATTCTGCTCAGGTTCACAAAAACAACCGAGAGCAGTCAACTAGCTAAACAGAACCTCGGCTTTTTATAGATGGTTGAACTGCTGCTGTCTGCGTAAGCATCCAGATTTTAGAGGAGACGAGAAATAGTGGAGGGTTTCAGGTGCATCAGCAGCAATAAAAATTAGGCTAATTAAATAATTCAGGTTCTCATCTAAAAAAGACCTAATAAAGAAGAAACTAAACGTCTGAATAGACTGGATTAAGGCTTTAGCTAATGGTTATTTTAGTAATCATCATTCTGACATTAGGTAATCAGATATAGAAAATTTGTCACATTTGGCAGATTTTTTTTTCAATTTAAGGTGTCATAACTTATTACTTAACTTATTTAATCCTTCTGAACTTGTCTTAGTCGTAAGGAAGTCATATTTAAATGTCAAATCATTCTGGCTTAAAAATGTATATATATGTAGTCTTTAGTAGACTATGTTGTCCTAAAATTTTGAAAATTTTTATTTAAAAAAATCCTGTCTTAAAATCTGTTTTTTTTTCGTTATCTTATGCAGGACCGTTATTTATACAGCAGCTTGTACACCTAAATTCGGTTAATCATATATCATATAACGGTCATGTGTCAAATTTTTTATAGCATCTTGATTCACATGTACAGATACAGAAACATCTAGGTCTACGCTACTGACGGGATCTACCAGATCTGCCATCTTGTTGGCAGCCATGTTGGATATCTGCAGTGTTGTGCCTGAACGCGTTCATTGAACGAAAGTTCATGAACTCGTTTATATTTTGGGCGAACGTGAACTGAACGTACTGCATTACTGCCTGATGAACGTTATTGTGAACTCGTTCATTCTGGTGTCTGTGAACGGCACGCTCTCTCAGTTCAGCTCCGTTCAATAGGTTGCCAGATTTCTATAGAGTCCTCCAGGCGAAACCCCGGCTAAATCAAACCGTAAACAGGCCTTAATATGTCGCGGGAAAAACACCCAATCTGGCAACACCAGCTACCAGTGTCGTAGCCTACAGCCGCGTGCGTCATCTAAACAAAATGCTGCGTGGAAGCCACAGCAGCGTGGAGGCGACAAAGCAGCAGTATGATCACTTAAAACAGTTTAATGACCAGGTGGTCGGTGAGGATGATGGCAACAAGTTTGCCCGCCGGCTTTCAGTAAAAAAATCCGCACTTCAGTAACCTTAAATTCCTACCTCAGCCTGGTCCCTCAGTTTGTGTTAGTAAAATCTTCTTGAGCGGAGGTCTTCAACAGGGGATCCGCGACCCCTAGGGGGTCTAAGGAGGTACTGCATGAGGGTCTGCATGGTTAGTTGATATTTTTATATTCCCCCCCTGCAATTTTTCCCCCCACTAATTGAAATGTCTTTAAATACTCATTAACATGAAATCAACACACTGTAGTAAACAGATAAATGGAGACAAAAGATGTCTTTCAGTCATCAATGCACACATTCAGCGACACACAGGAGCTCTTTCAAGCTGGGCACTGTTTCCTTCACAACAACCAGGAATCGGAATCAGAAAAACTTTAATAATCCCAGGGAGAAATTAATTTCTTTACATTACTCCATCTGTAATAGAGTGACTATAGGACACAATTTCATACAATATATATAGTTAGGGGGTCCCCGCTCCATCTCGCCATCAGTTTGGGGGTCCTTGGTCTGGAAAACATAGAAGACCCCTGTTCTTGAGGGTTTTACTATCCATGTAACTTGTTTGTTAAACCTGCCTGGTATAATTTTCCAGGATTCCAGTATTCCTTTTTAGTATGTATTGAAATGGAAATTCAAATGGAAAAAATTATTAAAATAAAAAAAAACATTTGCACCTTAAAGACTACTTTCCTATTTTTCTTTTAATAATTACTCATAAAAAAGACCATTCAAGCAGCACATTTTTCCTGATGTTTTTGAGAATATACTGTAGGGGTGAAAGCTGCAGCTGCTACTAGTGTGAAGTGAATGGACAGCAACAAAGCGTTAAAGCAACAATGGGGAAATCTGTCCCCTCAATGCTAATGTAAACCTTGGTTGGATAAGGATTCAAAACTGGATATGAAGATGAAATCTGACGCACAGTTTCAGAGTTACAACTGATAAAATAATTGCTGTCTGTGGTTCTACAGTAGGCTATGGTGTAATTGAGCAATATATGAAAAAAAAAAAAAAAGAACTATGAACTAGTTCATTTTTTGGTTTTGAATTATGAACTATGAACTGAACTAGTTCATTTTAAAATGTGTGAACTGAACTTTGAACTAGTTCACGTAGAAAGAGAACTTTCCCAACACTGGATATCTGCTGATATTGTGAACAGAACCAAATGTAAACGACACTGACAGATCTGGTTCTGTTTGCAGCAAATCCCAAGTCGACAGAGAAAAATCCTGGAAGAGGCTCATGAGCTGAGTGAAGATCATTACAAGAAGTATTTAGCTAAACTGCGCTCCATCAACCCACCCTGCGTCCCGTTCTTTGGTATGACTGGACCCGATCCTTTCGGTACTGGTACCAGCAGAATCTGTTTTAACAGTTTGTGCTTGTGCTGCAGGGATCTATCTGACCAACATCCTAAAGACGGAGGAGGGAAACCCTGACTTCCTGCGCAGACACGGAAAAGATCTGATCAACTTCAGCAAGAGGCGAAAAGTCGCAGAGATCACTGGGGAAATCCAACAGTACCAGAACCAGCCATACTGCCTGAGTGTCGAACCCGACATCAGGGTAAGTCTCTGCTGACGTTGCCTCACAGGGGTTTAAAGTTCTTTGTTTTGTTATTTTTTTAAAGCTGCTTCTGTGTGTTTGTGGAGCAGAAATTCTTCGAGAACCTGAACCCGATGGAGGAGATGTTAGAGATCGACTTCACCGACCATCTGTTCAACAAATCGTTGGAGATCGAGCCTCGAAACACACGATCGTTGCCCCGTTTCGTAAGTGATGCATCAGACACCGCCAGTGGCATAACTCTGAACTGTGAGCTAACGCGCACCCGCCTCCGGTCCAGGCGAAGAAGTACACCTGTCCTCTGAAGTCCCCGGGAATCCGACCAACATCGGCGAGGCTCGGCACCATGAGGCACCCCACGCCTCTGCAGAACGAGCCCAGAAAGATCAGCTACAACCGGGTCACAGACAGCGAGTCCGAGGGTGGCGCCGTCTCCGCCCCAAACTCCCCCCGGACACCACTGACCCCACCGCCGGCCTCTGCCGCATCCAGCTCCACTGATGTAGGCAGCGTCTTTGACTCCCCTCAGGGTCCCAGCAGCCCCTTCCATTCAAGTAAGACCTCCTCCCTGAGCATTAACTCCACCCACACACTGTAACCACGACCATACAATATAATCCCGCCCCTAATTGTGTTGTGCATAAATCTTTAACACCGCCGATAAGTTGTTACCCTGACCTGCAGAGACTGAGACTCGGCCCAAAAACTACCAACAGACTTGCTTCCACTGTTCCTAACCCTCATACCAAGATTTTAACTCCGCCCACATATTGTTACTCTGCCCATCAAATGTCACCCCCTCGATTACAACCCCTAACTGATACTGACATCCCCCACACACTAACCTCCACCTTCTGACAAGTGAGTCATACTAACTCCGCCACCAATACTCTAAAGGTGGATTCACACCAAACCTGTTCTGACTATTTCAGTGTTGACTGTTGCAGCTCGTTGCAGAGCGTCAACCAATCAGAGAAGCTGATTTAGGAGCTCTTTATGAAACGTGAGAGTGCTCTGATTATTATTACTCTACAAAACATATTTTCTGAAGTGTAGCGAAATAGGTTGTAATAAATACCCGCTCTGACATTGGATATCAAAACTGGCTGTCGTAAAATTTTCAATTTGATATTCTGGTTCTTTCAGTCTTTAATAGGGATGCACGATATTGGGATTTATCCGATACGCCGATATTTTAAAACTCATGTAGCCGATAACAGATATCGATACTGATGTTAAAGCTGGACAAAAATAAGTAGTAATTGAAAATAGCAGTTTTGTTATCCATTTCTGACACTTTGAAAAATAATATACTCAAATATATTTTCATATGCTGATATCAAATAGATTTGTAAAAACGCGGTATCGATCTATTTTACTTTCAAAATCTCGTGAAATTTCATCGTTCTGTTACAAACTCTCGTGATATTTTGCAAATTCTTGTGAGATTTTGTTAGTAAAATAGATCGATACCGCGTCAATATATCAACATATAACAATATGGCAACATTTCGTGAATTTTCGGGGGATTTCGTAGCATAACGATGACATATAGCAATATTTCATTAGTAAAAGAGATTGATATGGTGTTTTTAAATGGCAATATATCAGCATATGAAGATATTGTGATATTTTAATGTATCAATATTTTTTCCCTCGTCTTTAGAAGTTTTTAAGTCTGTAAAAAAGAAGTTTTTGAGGAAGAAGAAGAAGTAGTATTTATTTATTTTTTTAGACTTTAGAAACTCAGAAGCTGATCAAATATCAGGTTAAATATCAGTGGGGTGTCCGATATTCAGTTTTAAGGCCGATACCGATAGGGGGCCGATTATATCGTGCATCCCTAGTTTTTAATTACAGCGGGAAACAGCAGAAAGACTGGATGGTTTAGAGAAGAGTCCCGTGCTGCATGGGAGCAGGGCGCCACCATTTTAACTATCAATACTGGAAAAGCACACTGGAAGTCAGTCCCATGAGAATATTTGTCTTGTTTGAAAAAAAAACAACCTCTATTTAACTTAAGAGATTCAGATCTGTCACTATCATTTGGGCGCCACTTTACAGCAGTCTGAGCTCCTCCTAAACACCTGAGCTAACTAGCTGATCTCACCCTTTGATGATCATTTTTCTGGTTCTCTAATGGAGGATTTAATCTAGAAGGTTACTCGATGACTTCTAGATCTGGTGGTCTAACGAGGAAGCAGAGCACAGAGGGGGGGGGGGGGGGGGGGGGGGGGGGGGGGGCGGCTAAGTATTACACAGTGTTGCTTTAAGTCTACAGACCTTAGGTTTAGGTTTCCTTGCAAAATTTCCGATGTTAACTTTATATTTTTTTTCACTTTTTGCTTTAGCCAAAATTTAATGGGCAAAAATAAAGACAATCCAGTAATAAAAAATATCTAATCTAGTTAACTGACTTCCTGTATGTGAAAATACACTTTGAAAAACCAATAAATTGAGAATACATTTTGTTTTTACAAAAATCTTTTGGAAAAAATTAAGTTCGACAAAAAGAAAATCTAAGAAAACAGGAAGGTTATTCTTAAACCCTTATTCTCCCTGAAATGTTTTGCAAATGTAGAGCGAAATTCACTCCTTTTTAACATGTTTGGTGTGAACGCCTCTGACTTTCCTCCCTGATTGTAGCCGTAGCTTCCAGACTCTCCTGGACTGACCTTCATCTCAGAACCAGTTAGGACAGCTGACCGGGCTGGTTCCTTTGCTGCTCTGACTTGTTTGTTTTGTTCACCCTGCAGCCTGCGACAGCATATTTGCTGTTATCTCTCTGCCTCACGGCCCACGTTAGTATTACCCTCCCGACTGTCCGTCGTCGCCGCCTCAGCTGTTGGAGGCCGGCCAGTGCTGGGGGGGAACGCTTGAGTCAGAGTCCAGATATGGGCTCTGTGTTGAAACCTATGTTTATGTGCAGTAGAACCAGATATTTACATACACTTTATTAAAAAAAAGCGCCTTATTTTCACAATCTTACATTGATCAGACATTATAGTGACACTGTGGCTGAGAGGGTAGACTAGTCATCTTTAGTGAGTCGACCAGAAATGCTCTGAAATTCGGACTTTTAAATTTAGAGGAACTAAATATCTCTGCTGGAAAAACTTGTGAATAATAACAAATTTTCGCTCTTTCCTTGGTATTTGTTAGAATTTCCTTTAAACGTTTTGTCTTCGGCCAAATCAGACTGAACCGGTGTCTGTAATCTCTGTGACAGAGATCAGTACTTTGTCATGGCTGCTCAAGAAGAATGGACTCTGCTGTCCTTCAGCCGCCTCCATCAGAATGACTCGTCCGTGTCCACGCTTTGACTTCCTATCTGCGTAATGGTCCTTCCTACTCATGGCATCTATTGTGTGAAGTGACCCCGTCTTTTCTGCAGCAGAACCCTCCTCATCATGATGCTGCCACCCCTGTACTTCACTGTAGGGATTTTATTCTCCGTCTCCAAGTTTCCTCCAACAAAACCACTCTGCTGATGTCATCAGACTACAATACATCAGTGATAAAACGTTACTAAGTCATTTTCATGTTGTGAAGAAATAAGTTACACAATTAGCCAATGGAGTAAGATGGTTATTGTTTAAAATAAGTAAAATGGCCTCACTATCATTTTTTAAGTACATAATATGGATTATCTGATTTTAACGATAAAAAACTAATTTCATTGGCCATTGGGAGATTATCTTTGACTCAAATTAATGACAGATCCACTGATTATGAGACATTTTTGCTTATTTTCGATAATTTTTTTGTTTGTTTTTTATGAGTCCAGTCTAGTGAAGCTCTTTGTGACATTTTGAACTGAATTCTGGTTTCTAATTGGGTTTTGGGCGTAAAGCCTTCTTTGGCTCCCAGGGGCCTTTAAAGCTGAAGTCTGTAAGTTTTTAAAAATCACTTTTTTGTCATATTGGCTAAAACTGTCCCTATGCCCAGACAGCAGTACATGTGATATGTAACCTGTGAAAAAAACTGCTTCAATTGGTACCGCCTACTGCCTGTATTTCAATCTGGAAAGAATAATTCGGGACGAGTCAAAACAACCAATCACAGCCAGAGGAGCGTCTGATGGAGTGTCAATTAGGGGTGTAAATAATAATCGTTTTGTATCGATGCATCGATCCAAAAGCCGACGATCCGATGCATCGATACGTCCGCAAGATAATCGATTAATGTTTTTTTCCCTCCGGTCTATTTTTATCCATTTGCTCCTGGGCGTAATCCTCCCGTGCTGCAATGCCGCTAAACCTATTTTGCCCTCCTACCGCGCTTCCTGGTTATACTCTTACAGCAGTTTGTTGCAGCAAGCTTCACACAGACATTTTTAAATTATGCTCAGTATTGAAGCGTGGTCTGGGCTACACGCTGTGGGTCTAGATACGGCCGAGGCGATGAGGAAGTGGGGGCGAGTTTAGTCCGACGACGAAGGGACATGAGGGCAAAAAGAGCGGAGATTCAGCTGGAAAAAGCGTCCCAGCGTTCTCGCGCACCTCGCGCTTCTAGCGGGTCAAACTTCACAAGTTTTTTTACGCAATTTCGGTCATAAAAACAAAACAAGCCGGCCTCCTGTCTGGTGCACTGTTTGCAGTCAGCTACAATCTGGGAGAGGTGCAGCGAGCGTCTCTCAAGGGGGCGGTGACGCAACACTCTGAAGCCTTCTTCTTCTTTTTTTTTTAATGGCGGTTGGCAAACAACTTATAGGTGCATTACCGCCACCTTCCAGAATGGAGTATGGACCAGACAAACTATTATATTCTCCCTAAAATACCCGTTCTTCTTAGAAAATTAAAAATACTACCAAAAACTACATCCCCAGATGACCTTTGAAACAATTCCCTTATATCTAGTTTATTTTTATTCCTGTCTAACTCTCTACACAACATCTCTCTTTCCTGAATATATTTATTACATTCTAAAAAAATATGTTGGACAGTTTCTCTGGAGCCGAGTTATTGCATTGAACTCATTACACTGATATTGTGCAGTATTTTTGCAGTATTTTTTGATGCAACTTTTCTACTTCTGTTATTTGCTGTTGTTTCTAAAGAAAATGCATAATGATATTACAGCTTTCACTGATTTATTTCAAACTTGAAACTTTGTTTAGCCTGTAAGGTGTAAAAAAAATAAATAATAATAATTAAAAAAAAAATTAACCGATTAATCGATTAATCGAATCGAATCGAATCGTGGTGTATTCTTAAGTATCGAAAATAATCGAATCGTTGGGTCAGGAAATCGATACTGAATCGAATCGCCATGATGGATGTGATTTACACCCCTAGTGTCAATCACAGCTCCCCCCCCTCACTGCTTAACCTGCCGCTGCCGCAGTCAGGAGGACGCGCGTGGAAGTCATGGCGGAGCGACAGCCACCAGCGAAAGAGAAACTGCCCTTACTGCCCCTGCCGACAACTGCTTACACGGCAAACTTCGGTATAAGCAGCATCTTATATCTAGCTGCTTGGAGGTGAGTGTTATCGCTCTTACCGGTTCACACTCCATGCCGTGTTGCACGCTGCTTGGACGCTTCTGGTCGCATGCGGTAGCCGCGCAGGTGCTGTGAGAGGGGTGGAGCTTGGAGGTGGGGCATGAGTGAAGCAGAGAGGGTGGGGGAGTGGCGTGAAACCTGTTTTTCTTCAAATTTTCAGTCGAAGTCTGCTCTCTTCTCAATGTTACAGACTGCAGCTTTAAGTCGATGTCGGTTTCGGACTCCATTCACTCTGGATGCTGACTATACCGTCTTCTGCAGCTTTTTCAGAAGGCATTTAGGTTTGGTTCTAGGATTGATTCCCAGATTTTACACCAGAACCATTTTATCTCTCTGTACCAGAGCCCATCTCCTTCTTGCCTATGACTGTTTTTGCAAAGTGAAACGTGATGCCTTCAGCTGTCTGCACCCAAAGATGAACCAGAACATGGTTCTCCTTCTGACCTCTTGGCTAACTTCTTTAGATTATCCATGATGTCACACAAGCAAGTAAAGAGTTTGGCATGATGCCTTAAAACGCATCTAGAGGTTTTCCCCTCATTTGGACAGTGAACGCCTCACAGCCAGGCTAGTGACAGAGACTCTGCTGTAAATCATGAAGGTCTCTGGTTTTATTACAGCCTGCCTTCCCTCTATTAATTAGTAATAAAAGATTGATTGGCTTCACACAGATAGACAGATGGATAGATACTTCTATTATCCTGGTATCATCTTTTATCCCAAAGCGACTTTTCTACATACTTTGGTTGATGATGATTGAGTCAGATTCCTTGTTTGCTCCAATAAACTCGGCCATTTAATGGGATTCTGGTTCAACTCAGACTTAAATTAAGGAGGTAGCACATCATCTAAGCTTTCATATTTTGTTTAAAGTTTGCTTTTGCTTATCTTGATGGGGAGCCATTTTGTGAAAAATATTACAAATATAATAAACATTAAGCTTTATTTAAATATATAGTTAAGATTGATTTTAATTTGATTATATATTAATATCAATTTTTAACTTCAAAATCTATTATTTTATTTATTTTAAGATTTTTATTTTCAAATGTATTGCTTTATACAAACATGTTTTATTTATTTCCAGATTTATTCAATTCCAAATATATTTTGTATTCTTTTTAAGATTTATTTGTTTCTTTAGAGATTGATAGATCTATTTTAGAATAGAATTTGGGATGACTCTGGGTGACTCTGTCCTTCAGAACCCAAACAGTCCAGTAAAACTGCAGCCCCTGCTGACTAGCGTTAGCTAATATGTTACATAAGGCTAGGATTAGTGTGGCCCTGATGCCATTTTTTGGCCCCGATATCTGGCTTTGCGGTATCGGCTGATACGGTTACCGTACCGATACAGAATTGCATACTACGTGGATGTAAAATAATTGCCATCATGGCTTTGTCAAGCTGCTGCCTACCTTTGTGAAGAAGGAAAAAGATGAACACAAAGTGAATCCAGTAGAACGTTTTATTGCCTACCTGGAATAGGTGACAATAGTTGAATAAACGTTTGGCTCTCAACATGGTATTGTCAATGTCAAATTTATTTATATAGCACTTTAAAAACAGGTATAAAACTGCACCAAAGTGCTGTACAGGACAAACAATAGTACTAATTAATAAAAACAGATTATCAAAACACTTCAAGTAAATGCCAAAGAATAAAAATTTGTTTTAAGAAGCGATTTAAAATGATCCAGGCTGTGGGCAGATTTAATTGAAAAGGTAAATTGTTCCATAAAATTGGAGCAACAACAGAAAAAGCCCGATCTCCTTTCCTCTTAAGTCGGGTCCGAGGGACTGTCAGTAATAGCTGATTATTTGATCGTAAGCTTCTGGATACAGAGTGAAATTTTAAAAGGTCCCTAAGATAGGGAGGAGCTAATCCATTTAAAACCTTATAAGTTAATAAAAGAATCTTAAAATCTATTCAATAAAAGACGGGCAGCCAATGTAAAGAGGCCAGTATGGGCCTTATATGGTCACGCTTCCTGGTTCCTGTAAGAAGCCGTGCCGCTGCGTTCTGGATCATTTGAAGTCGCTGCATCTGTGTTTTATCCATGCCTCTATATAATGAATTGCAGTAATCCAACCGAGATGTGATGAAAGCATGGATAAGTCCTTCAAAGTCCTTAAAACAAAAATAAGATTTCATTTTTGCTAAAATCCGCAGGTGATAAAACCTTGATCTAACAACAACAGAACAACAGCACCGTATTGGTGCCCTGTTTGTCGCTACTCACTGATACCACCATTTTAGTGCTGGATCGGGGCCCTGTCCGATGTTGGTATCGGTGCAACACTAGCTAAGATACATACTTTTTAAAGCTGATTGATTTCATGTATTGCTTTTGTCAAGGACCTTAACTGTGCCACCATAACAGTGTGGTGATAAACATCTGTCAATAAACATCTAGACTATCAACAAACTGTAGTCACAAGCACCCACAGCTAACCGGTTGCTTCTCCTCATTATCCGAGCAATTAGCCGCCATGCTATATCCAGCAACTGTTTCCACAAACCCCTGTCAGCGTACCAACTTAGAACCAGTCTGTAAAGACATTCAGGGGCGTGGCCGGACCAGACTGAGCCGCCCCACAGAGAAAGCTCCGCCCCCTCGTTAAAATAGAACAACAAATAGAAGACACAAAAAATTAATGATCTTAAAATGCCTAAAACAGTCTTGTAAAATTAGTGTTAACCAATAAAACACCATTATAAAATACAATAATAAAATAAAATTAGCCAGTAGATGTCAAACTACAATAAATAAATCTTAAAATATTTTTAAACAAAATAAATCAATGTATGTGTATACATATATATATATTGATGTGTATAAACCTTAAAATAAACACATAATAAATAAATAACATATCTTAAAATAAATGAATAAATAACTAAAATGATAAAATAAAGTAAAAATATTTGTATAATTATTGAATGGAATTTTATTAATGATTTATTAATAGTTGTATCTATTGAATAATTTTGAATAAAACCTCTCTCCATATATCTTAATGTTTGCAAACATCCTACGTTAAAGCAAAAAAGAAAAAGAAAAAAAACTAATCCTTTTGGTGTTTTTAACTTTATGTGAAGATCTGGTTCCCGCGGTATTTGGTCCTGAATCGGTCAGAGAAAATCCACCATGGATGTTAAATAATGGATTAAAAACAGAAATCTTCTGACCGTTATTTGTGCTGATAGAACATATAAGATCATCCTGATCGATCAATCGAGGGTTTGATGATGAAAAACCTTCTAAATGATTTAAGTTTTTTTTTTTTTTTTTTCTCCATCAGAACTCACTGGGTTCATCCTAGAAATAAGAGTTTCTGGTTTGGACTGAAAGAATGGCACCACCCAGCACTGACCTGTCTTTTTTTTTATTATTACTCATCTCCATGGAAACCATCTGCTCTCTGTCTGTGATGATTGATGTTTATCCCTGGGTTTCATTTATTAGTCCCATTAACACCAGAATTGCTGTTTTCTTTTCCTGCGATATTATTCCTAATGGACTTGCCTGAGAGGATTCACTAGTTCCTCATCTTCTCCTGAGAGATGTCTCTAAAAGTGACCTAGCAACATAAGAAGAAACGTGCGATGTTCTTCCTGACAGAGGCCTAGCGATGTCTTTTTATGAATGCACAGACTTTAGTTGCCTTATCCTCTTAACCCTATAATGCCAAATGTATCATATTTGATACATACGGTTTCTGAAATGTTTTGCATAATTTAATGGTAAAAACTTTGCTCAAAATCCTATCGTACACGATCAGATATATGATAACAGAGGGCAGAAGACTACACAAAAAAAATCTTGACTTATCGCATAGTAATAAATTATTAATATCAAGAAAGTATTTCTGTTTTTTCTTTTTACATATTTTGTTAAAAGGGCAAATAAGGAATTCAAACCAAAAAAAAGTAATTTTCTATTTTGTTTTTTTCTTTGATTGGGCTTTAAAGGGTTAATTACATTGTGTTGTCAGCAGCCGGACCGGTTAGTCTGTCCCTAACTCATCAAACCATTAACTTTAAAAAGGTTTTTTGTTTTGTGTTGTCATTTTTAACGAACTGTTCTTTATGTGGTTCTAATTTGGTTCTGTACCTGTACTCACCCCCAGGGTCTTCGTCTGTCTCCTCAATAATGAGTTTCAGTCGGGTGTCAGAGGACACCCCCATCCCTCCTCCTGTTCCTCCACGCAGAAGACCAGAATCAGCTCCTTCCGAGTCTTCCCCCTCAAAGGTAACCAGTCACACAATAGAGGTTAGCAAAGCAAACAGTCCCCCAGCATTTAGCAAATTAACTCATCACTCACTAGTTAACCTAACCAGTCACTCACTAGTTAGCAAAACCACCCATCAGTCATCAGTTAGCAACTTAACCCATCACTCACCAGTTGACCTGACCTGTCAATCACCATGTCAATCACCATCACCATCAAATCACCATTTTTAATATCTTTATATCTGAATTAGAGGAATTCTTACGGACTCTTACACCTCCTCTGTGCTCCTCCTCTCTCCCTAACTCTGCCCCCTCTGCTCCTCCAGATCCAGTCCAAGTTGGAGAGCCCGCCTGCCGTGCCTCCTCGACAGCCCACATGTAAGCTCCCCACCCCTCGTTACTCTTCGTCGTTGTCTTCGTCTCCTCCAGACAGCCCCCCTTTGTTGCCCCCTCGAGAGCCCCTGCACCTCCTCCCTCCCCCCCAGGGCCGCTCTCGCTGTGAACTGTTGTCTCAGGCCTTCTTTCCCTCCAACACATCCTCTACTTCCTCCGCTTGCTCCACCCCCACAGCCTTGTCTTCCTCCCCACCCCTCCCCCCTGTGCCACTCACCCCCACAGGTAGAAAGATGCCCTTACCCTCCCCACCCCTAGATGGCCCCCCAGTGCCTCCACGCCACAGCGTCCCCAAACTGCCTCCCAAGACGTACAAAAGAGAATCTCTGAGCCAAGTCCCTGCTGCTGGTCCCACCCCCTGCTCTGTGATTGGACATCTTGTGAACGAGGCAGAGCTGGAAACACTATAGCTAACTGGATCAGAATGAACGAGAAGCTGACCCCCCAGCAGCTTCTGATCCTGTCAGAACCAAACTGAAACTGGACCCAACGGCGTGCTCTTACTCCAAAATTCTCAAGACTTTTTCTGTGTGGTCATTTCATTTCTGTTCCTCATCTGTGAGCTGGGACCTGTGGGACCCGGATCAGCGCCGACTGCATCTGATGGAATCTGATCAGTTCTGATTGGACCTAATGAAACGGATCAAAATTGGTTGGACCTGAGGCTTAACGGAGACTGTGGTTCACAGCTTGCAGGTACTGGTCCAGAACCTAAGAGGTACTGTTGTTGGTTCTGGTGGACCCGGTGTTGTTTGTTATTGTTGTAGTTGTTAATGATGTAAACAAAGAAGGGAATAAATGTTTCTGTCTATGATCTGGATTCCTGTTGTTACTTTTCTGCAGCTCTGGGAGGGGGATTCTGTGTCAACTAGTGATGTAAATAATTATCAACTTATGATTAACTGTTGATTAATGGTTTATTAGATGGAAATTTGTTTAATCAAATTATTGATAGTGTGTGCTTACCCCCAGATTCCACATCCTCCGCTCCCTACCGCTCACGCACATGGTGTGGAGCACTTCCGCCGTCATGTTAATGTCGATGAGAACTGTTGCATATCCGCCGCTACTCCTCTGCACATCGCCGTCCTCGTACGTCTTCTCCATCCTTAACCGCCAAAATACGGAGCCAAGCTATTTTTTGCTCCACTCAGTTGGAAGACTCCAGGTCAAGAGCCGCAATTGCAATGGCACCAAACAGGAAAAAGAATGTTGAGAAGATCTGGTTTGTCAAAATAAAATATGGTAATTACAGACCTACAGATAATAATTTAATATGTCGGTTCTTTGCTTTTTTACATAACAAACCACTAATTGTTTAAAATTACTTAATTCAGAATTGTTTGGGTTATCTATAAGTACTGAACTTTGCTGAATCGAGCCACAAAACTAATGTAAATAGCAGTTTCAGCTGACGCTCTTATAAGTGTCATAGTAGCACAGGCACACTCGGTAGGGTTAAACAAGCGCACCCTTTCCGAGGCTGTCGTTCTATTGGTTGGAAAGGTTGCTAGGCGACGATCCAGCTGCAATCCGAAAGAGAGCAAAAAAAATCTGCAAGCAGAGCCTATGGGTTTGCGAGCGTATCTGAGACTCGAACAGAGCGCGGTTTGTGCGCGAAGAGAAGGAGGCAAGCGAGAGGAGAAAATATCTGTGCAAGAAGCATTAAATCTGAGAGAAGAAACAAAGATTTGAGAGAGAAGAGAAAATATTTGAGAGAGAGCGCATGTTTTGAGTGTGAGCATTATAAGTTTTGAGTGCAAGAAGATGAAATTCTTTTCTTAAATTATTGGATGCAAACTATTGGTACTTCAACATACCAGGAAGCAGCTTTGTCATGTCGATCAAAATCTTTATTTTATACCCAGAGGCTGAAAAAGTTTAATCAAATCCAGTTAAAACAACTTCCAACAGCGCATTTCAAAACTTTAAAAGAAAATTCTTATCGCAGGCATGGATGAAGAGATGCTGAGTTGTAAGGAGAGCAAACCACTTTTGTATGCTCCTTATTATTCTTATTACAAAGATCCACAATTAACATAAAATGTTTGGGCAGAAAATGATAGATACTGATGGTGAGTTTATATTATCTCATTAAATTAAGGGTTTGTGACCTCGTATTGTTTTCCTTTGAATTCATAAATAAAACCGTGCATGCTCTCGAGCTCCAAGGAACTCAGTGAAGCAAGACAGGAAGAACCGCAGAGGCTGCAGACTTTTCTTAGTGCAGGCGGTTTAGAATGGAGTGGAACAGGTTATGCAGGTTGTGAGATTTCAGAGTTAGAATTTCTGTCAGTGTTGTAGTGCTGCATTTATCCACTAGAGGGCACTGCTGTTCATTTTTAGGTGGAGCTTTACTTGTGTTTGCAAGAGAAGTAAAGCCAGTTTGGAGGCCTGCTAGAGCAGAAGCCAGAATTGATCCAGAGTCTGAGTTTATTTACAGTTTAATTTAATCAAGAATGCAAAATGAACTTTCCGTGTTTCTGTTTGTAAATGTAAACATTTAAAACACTCCTAAAGTTAAGGCCGTAATAGCACCCATTTAGCGTAACTTCTCTGCTGTGATTGGAAGGATAGGATATGACGATATAAATGTGGAGGGTTTTACGTAAAACAGTTGCAACATGATGATAAAAAGACATGCTAGCAGTTAGCAAGGTAGATAAAGAAAGCTTTTGTGATTTAATGCACTTCGTTGAGCCAAGTTCAACATTCTTCTGGAAACAACCAGAACAACCTGTTAAAAGGCTTTGTCAACAGCATCTCTCCCTGCATTGATTATTGGATGACACTAAATAACAGCGCTATATCATATTTAGTTTCCACTTCATCAAAAATAAGTGGCAAATAGTCTGACATTATGTTAAAGTGACATGTTTTGTAATTTTTTAGTCAGGAACCTAATAGGTTCCTCTTTGTTCTCGTTAAAAATGGGTTTAATATGTAAAAAATATTTTTTGGTTTATTCAATCAGTATTTTATACAACAGTTAAAAATAAAAAAAATAGTTAAAATATAATGTTCTACTTTTTTTGCACACATAGAGCACGATATATTTAGCTCCTGATGCGAATGAAGGCTCCTTGATGAAAGCGAAAACTCAGGGTTTTTAAGAAAATGAAAGCTGATCAATCAACTTAAGTTTACTGGGAAAGCTGCAGGACTGGATTCCATCAGTCGCCGGCTGCTAAGAACCTTTGCAGACTCTGTCTTCAGCTACATGTGGAACCTTAGCCTCAGTCTGGAGGCTGAGGCCCATGTTTTGTGCAACATTTGTGTGTTTTTGGTTCCTAAACACTCATTTCAAGGAACTACAGGCCAGTCATCATGACCTCCTGTCTGATTACGACCGTGGAGTGGCCCAAGGTGAGCCCCACCTTGGACGCCCTGCAGAGGCCTGGACCACCTCACTGACCAGCCACATTATGCTTGTTGATCAGCTGTGAATCGGAAGCGTTATTCTGCACCATTAGGGCCCTGCAGGGTATTGTCCTGTCACCAGTGTTGTAGTACTCAAGATCGGTCTTGGTCTCGAGACCATTTTTTTGATGGTCTCATCTCGGACTTGAATGCATTCGGTCTCGGGCGCTGAGGACTCGGCATTTTATTTCAAGACCAGTCAAGACCACAACTGGAAATAACGCTAATTATCAGAATTTTATCAGTTTCTTTAAGATCCTTCTTTTTATTGGATGCTTGGATTCAAATCCAAGCAATAACCTGTCTCATTGGTAAATTCATGGTTTTTGTTTTGTGGGTTTTTTTTACGGCTGTCCCGCCCACCCCCTTTCACCTGCGCACGGGCTGCAGCACTTCGATTGATAGTCACAAGTGGTTGTCTGAGAACGGGATAAGATGTCGGCCAAATCATCGGTTATAAAATTCGGCTATTTAAATCACAAAGAATATATTTGTAAAGCAACATTGAGAAAAAAAGCATAAAACGCAATGTAAGTTCTGCAGTGCTTCACTATCTGAGACAGTAGGGACTACGTCCAACTTATTACTTAAGAGATGTTTATGTTTAGTCCAGTTTTGTGTGTTAAATATCTAGGTGTTTTTATGTGATTGTGGGTCTTTAATATCAATGTTGGGGATTTTGATCATGTTTCACATTGTATTGTCACATACTGGCGCTGGTCTTGGTCTTGACTCGGTCTCGACTTTCCTCGGTTTTGGTCTTCACTCGGTCTCGGACCCTAAAAGTCTTGGTCTTGTCTCGGTCTCGATACACTCTGGTCTTGGTCTTGTGTTAGGTGGTCTTGACCACAACTCTGCCTGTCACTACTTTCTTTCACCCTTTGCACCACGAACATTAACTGCAAAACGGAGAGCTCTCTTTACAGTTCATTGTACATTTTGCATATCAGTCAGTCGTGGACTTAATGGACTTCTGTGAAACTAGCCATCAGTGTTTGAATATTATTAAGATGATGGAGATGATCGACTTCAAGGATGCCACCTCATCCACAGATGAACATCCAGGGAGGGGTGCAAGGAGATGTTGAGTGGAAAGTTTGAAGTACCCGAGTATTCACCTCAACAATAAACTGGTTTGGTACAATTAGGATGCCAGAGTCGCCTCTATCATCTTTAGGAAACTGAAGTCATTCAGTGTGTACGGATGCTTAGGACTGTCGCACGCATCGAGGCTTGTGTCAATGATGCAGGTGATAATGTTCAGGACCTGGCTTTGAAGGGGCAGCAAAATGCTGCCTATTCTCCCTTCACATTCTCTTGTTTTATTTTGGTATGTCATGCCTCCACAAAGAGGAACTCAACATATTAAAAGCAGCAGAGGTCTAGAAGGTATAATCCCTGACAAATCTTTCCTTCCCATTTAATAACGAGGTGATTAGCTTCCAGTCTGTGTTGTGAAGCTAGAAATACAAATGTTGGGAACAGATCTCTGTACTAGCTTTTTACTTTTTGGGCCTGGATTATCCGCCACTGTATAGCAGTGAATCAAACACCTGTCCCTAGTAAAATAAACATATTTGAAATCAAAATCATCCCCTCCATTTGAAAAAGGATGGAAATTGAACTTTATTGATCTCACAATAGAGAAATTAACTCTGTATTTAACCCATCCAACTCAACCCTTGGGGAGCAGTGGGCTGCCACTGTGCAGCATCTGGGGAGCAGTTTGGGGTTAAGCTCAAAGACCCAGAGTGCTCAAAGACCCAGAGTGCCAGCTTTGGGGATCCAACTGGGTACATGCCTTCTCAGAGCATATGCGCACCCCCTGTTTGTTTCCATTTTGTCATCGATCTGTCATTACATCATAGATCTGATCATACTGGGGCCATATAAAAAAATCTTTATTGACATCACCCAAATATTAAATTGAAGCTGAAAAGCCAAAAAAGAAAAGAACAACTCGTCTATATTCATTTACCACTAGATGGCAGCATAGAGACAATGAAGGTTGCTCACATTACTTTTAAATTGTTTCTTCTGAATCTGATTCCAGTTTGACCAGTTTAAGCAACAAACTGATCTGCATGCGCAAAAGAAAACCAACAATGACGTGTTTTCCAGGACGCTTTGGTCCAGGAAAAACTGAAGCAATGGATGTTGTGGTTTTTGGCATCAAAAGAAAGAAACCCCATTGTGACTGCTGCGCTTGAAGAATAAAAATGGACAGAATCTCTGCATCCTGGCGTTTTTAATTGGGCTTTGGCTGCAGTTTAGCGTAGAGTTCACTGTGTTTGATTTTTTTTTTTTAACCAAATTGTTGATTTAGCAGGAAACTACGACAGAGTATTAGGGCCAGACCAGATTTTTAAAATTTGTTGAAAATTTGAGAATAAAGTTGTAATATAACGAGAATAAATTCGTATTCTCGTAATTTTACGACTTTCTCGTAAATTTATGACTTTCTCATAATTTTATGACTATTAGACTACTAAATGGGAGATTAAATGTGTAATTTAGTCTGGCCCCGATGAATGAGACATTGGAAGATTGTTGATGAGAACAACCCGTTGTTTTTCAAACCGTGTCTGTTCCTATTGGCCAACGCTCTGACCAATGAGCGCAACTGACTGTGACGTAGTAAGCGCGACAGAAAGCTGGTGGGGGAGTGTAAACAGACAGCCTGTGGGTAAAACGGCAAATTCGTCCTTCTCAAAAATGAATAAACGTAGAGCCTCTTCCTGCTCCTTCCAAAACTGATTCCAAAGCTGAGTCAAACGAGAACTGTTCAATAGTCGTTGCCATCTTCCTTGTTGTGCTTTCTCCAGCGTCGCGCAGCTTTGTCGTCACGCCCTCAAAACCCCGCCCACTTTGCATCCAGACTTTCAAAACACATCTCTGCGTTGTGATTGGCCCGCCAGTACAAGGGCCTGGGGCATTGATCGAGGCTAGACCAACTCGCAGGCAAAAATTATTTTGGCCGCTAGTTTACTAGGCTAAAGAAAAGTCACTTTTGAACAATCACAAGATGGCCTCAAGGGGGCGCTTTTTACCAATAGAGTAAAACATGACAAACGCTAATTAGCAAACACAACCGATTTATTAGATCTTCCAATCAGAACCACATCAAGAACAAAGAAAAAAAAAAAAAAGATACTATTGGTCCAGAGAAACAGAACCGGGACCCAGTGGGTTTCAGGGTCAATAAGGCCAGGTTCAGCGGGACCTGGATCAGTCTTTGAACCTGGTTCTGGTTGGACTTGTATCAGTGAATGGATGTAATTCCACTTTGACCTGGATCAGGCTCTGGGTGTGGGTCGGGCTGGGCTTGGATGAGTCTCTGGATTCGGTCCAAGATGATCTGGTTAGAGCTGCTGCAGTCCTCAGCTCCGTATGGAGCTCTGATGGTCAGAACCCCCGCCACCCTCAGCTCATTCCCGTCCTCTTCCACAGGAACCAGGTTCTTCTGGAGCCAGCCGCAGACACCGGACCTCCTCCTCTGTAGCTCCTCTGGGTCCAGGCTGAGGGTTTCCTGGGGGATGAAGAAGGAGCGGATCCGCCCCAACGTCTCCTGGTCCGCCTCCTGCAGAACCTCCACATGTTCCACAGCGTGGCCCATGACCACCCGGACCGAAGCACCTTCCGCCCGCAGGTCCAGCAGTACCACGCTGCAGAAAGAAGCGGAACCACATCATCCCAAATGAAACAGAACCAATGACTAATTTTCTCTACATCTGAGGACAGAGAGGTTCGACCCAAACAGGCCACCCATGTTACATCCCCAAGATGGATGTTATTTTGTTCTTGCATCCAATCGACACTTTGCTCTGTTTTAAGCTCCGCCTTTAAGACTGAGCTGTTTACTGAGTCTCAGCCCAATCAAGATCACCTGAAGCCTATTTAAGGCCGGTGCAGCTTTACTTCTGGGCCATTTGCCTGCCATACACCTCTGTTCTCATTGTAGAATCTAATGGGCTGTTAAGTTACTGCCATGTAAACCTGCTTGGATGGTTTTTTTGTGGGAGAGCTGCCTTTTTGTTTAACTCATTTTCTCCTGTTTATGTGTTGGTTAGGTAGGTTATTTCATAGGTTTGTATATTTTGGTTTTATATTGTGTAAGGTAAGTCCACTTTTCTTTTTCTTTAGGGTTGTTTTGTTTGTTATTTTGCAATAAAATGGCAGAATAAAACTTTTTTAATGCCTTTTTGACTCCTTCATTCACCGTCTAAATGTATGTTGGTCCCTTATACCCCATAGACCCAGCCAGGGGGGCGTAACACATGCAAGAAACCAAACAGAACCGCAATAGAGATGTTCATCTATTTCTGTCTCACCTGCGGGACACCGGATCCACGGTCAGCAGCCACCCACGGTGCTCCTCCCCCTGCGCCTTCACCATCACCTGTCTATGGACGCAGCGGAGCCACAGCTGCGGACCTGACTGAAGCCACCCACACTGCATCACGCTCCTATGATCATTGATCGATCATCAGCCTGCTACTGATTAGTTATACCGCCGCTGCGGCGCTGCACCACCTCAGCAGTCGTCCGGGTGAAACACAGCAAATGCAACAGTTCCGTCTTATACAGCACAGTGAGCCTCTGCTGCCCCCTGCAGGTCGGGAGCGGCAATACCAACCAGTTTAGATTTTTTTCTTTTGGATTGAAAATGAAATTCAAATGGCCCTGTGATGGACTGGCAACCTGTCCAGGGTAATCCGTGTATCATTCGTTCTTTCTATTTTCAATTGCCAATCAAAAAACAAAAAATCAAAAATTGACTGGTTATTTTGTTTTTTGTTTTTTATCGTTAAACCAAAAACGAAAAAAGGATTGGTTTTTCATATTTCAATTCTAAGCTCAGATCAAGAATACGAAATGGAAAAACGGACAGCAACGCAGAATTTGATTTTAATATTTAATCGGTACAGTTTACATGACCCGGAAGTTTGGTGGAGCGTTAGCTAAAAAAAACAATTGGCTTACTCCCACCACGTTCGATCAAACTGCACCAGATAAGGCAGTCGGACCTATCAGCCATGGACAGTTACGTTTTATTTCGAGGATCCAAGCGTGTGACTCTTGAGGAGGACATGACAACGGAGAAAATTTGCAGGATTTTCCAGGTATAACTTTTTTCTTGAAACTTTTCTGTGCACTGTACTTTTAACTAGCAACAACAAACAGCTTCTCGATCAACATAGTGTGTGGTTCTAGCGTCGCCATGGTAGCCACTTCATTACCCCAACTGCTGCGCAAAGAGCTATTTCCGGGTCACGTAAACTGTACCGATTAAATATTAAAAACAAATTCTGCGTTGCTGTCCGTTTTTCCATTTCGTATTCTTGATCTGAGCTTAGAATTGATATATGAAAAACAAATCCTTTTTTCGTTTTTGGTTTAACCATAAAAAACAAATAACAAAATAACCAGTCAATTTTTTATTTTTTGATTGGCAATTGAAAATAGAAAGAACGAATGATACACGGATTCAGGGTGTACCCCGCCTCTCGCCCATTGACTGCTGGAGATAGGCACCAGCACCCCTCGCGACCCCAATTGGGACAAGCGTGTAAGATAATGGATGGATGGATGAAATTCAAATGTTCGGAAGAGAATTAGGGCCACTGAAAAAAGCATATTCGAATCCAAATCAAAAAGTTAACTGATTTTTACATTTAAATTCAGCTTAATATGGGAAAAAAGTCAGAATTCTGACTTTTATGACTTCCCCCCCCCCCATTTTAAAATCAGTTAACTTTTTAAAAATTTTTTCAGTGACCCCAATCCTCTTCCGTACAAACAAAATATGTTCCGTTTAAAAAAATTGTAAAATCACACTTACAAAGAGAACAAGCTTTTGCATGGACTCCAAATGGCTTAAGAAAAGCATTTATTTTAATTTTGATATGCATTCACATGCATTTGTTGCATTTTTCATAAAGAACATTTCTACTCATCATTGAAAAATATGGAAAAACAAACTGCTGTAAAATTTCTAAAGTAAATAAATGAGCCTAAACATGTGGAGAATCCCTAACTGTATACTATTTATCTTTCTTTACTGATTCTTATTGCTCTATCCATTATTCATTAATTTTTATTATATTCTTTCCTTTTATTATATTATTACTCTCTTTGTTTAAGAAAAAATATGTGATTTACTATAATCTGTACATGTTAATTTCAACATTTTGTTACCTGACTGTAACTACAGTTGTGGAAAACTTATAAAAATTAGAAAATATTTTTATATGTTTACATAAAAAATATAAGGACATAATCACATAAGTCACAATAAGGGTTTGAATGGATAGATATGATTAAATCTGAATAAAGTAATTTGAAACAAACATAACTTCCAATAAGCACAACACCTGCTACAACTACAAACATTATAAAATAAAAGCTTATTCTATTCAGACTCTTACTCTGGAAATCCAACCGGAAGACCCATGCCTTCTTTCCTGTGCAAGATCAGCGAGCGGCTAACAGGGGAGCTAACTCGATCCCGCATCGATCGGAACCAACCTGCGTAAGAATGTCCCGATCCGGGCGTTATGGAGGAGGTAACCTACCCTAACTTCCTTTCTGATCGGTACCTGCTTGTAGAACCTCCTGGTACAAACCCATTGCATTCAGCAGAGTTATCGGAGCTAGCGAGCTACGCGCGGAGCTAATGGCTAATCCTCTTCTATGACGTCACTGTAGTACCTGCCGCACGTGTCCACAGGTGTTCCTCGCCGTGCTTGTTTTAATCGATTAGGAGTACCGATCTATGAGTTTGATTGGCAGAAGCAAGTAGTTAAATTTGCAGGAATTAGAACGGAGTCTGGTTCAGTTTATAGCCAACAGGTCAGGAGATACTGCCACCTACAGGCGGACTGGAAATTACAGCAACAAGCTAAGATAGTCACGGAAATAGCTGCTTGTTAGAACGTCTACCTAAACGGAAACGCATTATTCATCATTGTTTTGTTACAGTAGCTTATCGGGATACATTTATTTATATTTGCCCGAATATTTATAGATTGCTTGTGGTGATGGAGTTTTGGTTTAGAAGCAGAGAACGTCTGTACATTCTTCCTTTGTTCTGATGATGTGATTTTTGCTCAGAGGAAAGTTTTCCATCCCCGGCCTCAGCAGTTTTCCTTCATCCAGTGATTAAGTTCTGGATATTCTGCAGTGATCCTGGGGTCGTGATGGTGCGTTTAGTTGCGACTCATAAACTTCATAAATAAGTGATATAACCTGAATTTAAAGTATTGGCCCGGAAATCAGTGATAAAACATTAGTGAAATATCCGGATTTTTCAGTTTGTTTGTTTTTTGATCATCTGTTTGATGAGATAAAATTTTAAGGTAGGAGATCCAAATTGAACGGTTTGACCCAACAGAGTGCCAAGGATGAAATCAAGTGATTCCCACTGATGGGATCAAGTTTTAAACGGCTGATTGGATGCAGGACTGTTACCATAGTGACAAAGTACCACAGGTTTGATGAGACACTTGGAGACTCTCTGGACCTCAGCATGTCCTGGTTCTGTTCTCCGTCCACAGTCTGAATCAGTCCTGCTGGTGGGGAGGAGTTGGAGCTAGAACAACTGCAGGTGATTGATTTAAGAAAGGTGTTTACATCTTTTCCCAGCCTTGGATCTGACAGAGAGCACCGGGTAGAAAAAGCTACAGAACTCTAACAGTCAGTAAAAAGCTGTTCTTAAAAAGGAGCCGGTACAAATAACTTTCCTTTAATGAAGACTGATTTAAAATGAACTTCGGTTTTAGGTGACCCGTTACTTTGTAACAATCAGCATCCTGGTCTGATGCGATCATGTTGAGAATGTTAGTCTCTGATTCTTTTGTCTGATTGGCTGTTGAATCTGTTTGCTCCTCTCAAATGTCTTATGCAGAATCAAAGGTGTACGTGGGGAACCTGGGGACAGGGGCAGGAAAAGCTGAGCTGGAGCGAGCCTTCGGGTACTACGGGCCCCTCAGAACAGTCTGGATCGCCAGGAACCCTCCAGGCTTCGCCTTCGTCGAGTTTGAGGACTCCAGGGACGCTGAGGATGCCGTGCGAGGACTGGATGGAAAGTCTGTATCGCAGACACGATCACAGGTGACCTCCGGATCGCCTTCCGCTGACTGACTGGATGCTGGCATGTTTCAGGGTGATCTGCGGGAGCCGGGTGCGGGTGGAACCGTCCAATGGGATGCCCCGGCGCTCCCGGTACGAGAGGCCGCCGCCACGCAGGCCGTTTGATCCCGACGACAAGTGTTACGAGTGTGGACAGAAGGGCCACTACGCCTATGACTGCCATCGCTACGGCCGCCGCGGCCACAGGAGCAGGTGCTGCATCACAACTGTGATACCTCAAGATCTATCTGTTCCGCTTCTCACGATGTGATCCGCTTCAGGTCCCGGTCCCGATCCCGTGGGAGGCGGTACTCTCGCAGCAGGAGTCGCAGCCAAAGCAGAGGAAGGAGGTAAGTTCTGCTGAGCTGTAGGTCCCGGGCCCAGAAGGTTGGACTCTAATCTCTGTGATGTCTTCAGATCCAGGTCCTCCCCTCGCCGATCCAGGTCTAGCACACCCAGAAGATCCAGGTCTGGGTCACCCAGAAGATCTAGGTCTGGGTCGCCTAGAAGATCCAGGTCTGGGTCACCTAGGAGATCCAGGTCTGGGTCACCTAGAAGGTTCCGTTCTGGCTCCCCTGGGAGGTCCCGGTAAGTTTTTTTTTTTCTTTGATGTTGTCATGGTGATATTACAACCCCCCCTAAAAAATCTTTTCTTTTCCCTTCAGGTCCAGGTCTCGGTCTGTGTCTAAGCGCCACAGCAGGTGGGTGTGGCTGTTCTGATCATGCTCGGTGAGCCGTTCACCTTTGCAAAGTTTGATGATTTCATCTCTCTGCAGGTCAGGATCGATGGGTCGTTCTCGTTCCGGATCTCGCGCCAGAAGGTGAGACCACAGGTTCTGGTAAAGAGATAAGACCGAACACCAAAACAGGAACAGCTTCGGCTATGCCTACTTTTAAAAACTGCCCAAACCCAACTGATCATTTCACATTTGATGTATAGCTTAGAACTGAACCGGGTTTATAAAACCTGGATTATGTGTTTCTTTAAACAAGTGAAAAAGGAATGATAATATTGCCTGTTTTTCAGTCCAATTACCAGTTTAACAGTGTAATAGATTTCCAGTTTTATGCCCATATTACCAGTTTATTGGTCAGATTACTGGTATGACAGTTAGATTAACAGTTCCACAGTTAGACTGCCTGTTTCAATCAGATTACCAGTTTATCAGTGAGATTATCACTTATAACAGGCAGATAACCAGTATAACAGATTACTGGGTTATGAGTCAGATTACCAGTTTATTGCCCAGATTATCATTAAATCAGTCAGATTACCTGTTTATCAAGCAGATTATCAGCCTATTAGTAGAGTTATTGGACAACTCCACTGGGGTCACGGGAGAAAACTGGGTTAGATGCTGAGGGAGACTTGGGGCGATATTGTTTAAAAATTTAATCTAATTTTTGTCCTTACAAATCCAGTTAATCTAATTTTATATATATATATATATATATATATATATATATATATATATATATATTAATAGAAAATCTATTTATTGATTTTTATTGATTTATTGCCTCTGGTTGGGCTCTGGTACGAGTCGACACCTGGATAGGTGTTGAAATGCCTTCGGTTGCCTTCCAATTTAAGCCTGTTTTTTCTTGGTTGACATGACACAGATGGGAAAAAAAACAGGTATATTTTATGTTATAAAATCTAATAAAAATAACAGAAAAACAAAATATTTGAACTCTCTGACCCACGATAGATCCAAATAAAGAAAGGTGAGGTAATTGGATAAAGAATACGTGGGTAGTACTGACCAAATAACCACCTTACTGGTTTATTTTTCCATTTAAAGCCTGTAAGTTCACCACTTTGGCGTGATGATGCAACCTTAGTGTGATCCGAGTCCAACCAGAGCTGCTGTGCTCCGAAAACGATTCACGTTGAATATAGTGACTGGCAGAAATGTAGTCCTTTTGTTCCTTCTTGTGGATGTTTTTTCTTTCTCTCAGATTGGAATTGAATCATCGCCTAGCAGCCGTTGAAACCAACAGAACAGCAGTCTAGCAGCCTTGCGTTGATACCAACAGTTTTTTTTAGTGTCAGGTCAGTTTGGGAGTTGGCCTTGAGGAGCGTCGAGAGGTCCAGTGGTCCGATTTGAGCATCGGGTCTTGCTGCGTTTCCAGCATCTAGAGTGGCGGACGCTCGAGTTGGGACATCTAAAGTTTTTTCAGCAGGACGCTGAGCGTCAACCAGTCAGAGAAGCTGATCCAGGAGATGTCACTACATGCAAGTCGTGATCTCTGCTTCTACAGAGCTCCCAGCATAAAAGTGAAAAGTAAATAAATATATCAATGGGTTAAACTCCATTGTTTTTACATAGAAAGCCAGGAAAATGTTTTCTTTATGTGCAAAAAAAGTGAGAGTGCTCTGATCATTATTACTCCACTAAAAGTGAGGTGAATAAAACTGCTTCAGAGTAAGCTATTCAGAGGGCAGATGCTAATTCTACTTCTTACAGGGCATTAGGCAATTTTTCATTGATGATTTTAGAAATACCTTTTATGTTTTCCCTTTTTCATATCTTTTTTTTTTCTTGGCTTCTAATTTGAATTTGATTTTTAGCTATGTTACGTAATGTAAAGTTTACAGCACGTTTGTATCAACATTTATTATTTCTATCAATATTTTCAGACATTTTTCATATTTTTTACACAGTCATTTAAGCAGAGCTATAGGAGTAACACAAGCACACTAAGTAAAGGGGAACAATGTACCCCACCTACGTCTGTCGTTCTATTGGCTGAAACGGTTGTCTAACAATGATTATGCTCCAATCTGAGAGAGAACAGTTTGCAAGCAGGGAAGGTGAGTTTGGGAGCAGGCTTTCTTCAGATTTCCATGCTGTCATTTTATCAATGGGAACTGTTGGTTAGCAAATTAATAAAAATAAATCCACAAGCAGGGTTTACAAACAGGCCATTTCTGGCTCAACCAGAGTTTTTTTTGTTTTTTTCTTTTTGTATGAAGTCAGCAACAAAAATGAATGGGGGAAAAAGACAAATATTTCAAAGCATTAAAAAAGTGTTCATTAACATGAAGAACTAACCCTAACCAATCTTAACATGTAGCATTCTTTCTCAACACAATGTGATACCGTCTATCTCATGTAAACCAGAATTTGAAAATAATGCATTAGAATGCGTGGTAGAAACTTATCAAAAATCCAAGTATGCATATAAACACAAAATAAACTACAATACAACACAACTTGACAGTATTTTTAGGTTGTCTGAAGTATTATTTTTTTAAGTGCATGTATTCCAAAAACCTTAAATTAACCATAGCAAAATTATGCAAAAAATCATTTGCCTTTAGTGTTGATACCAAGCTGGGTTATATCAAGATACAGCATTACAGTATCTATAGTTTGCGGAGTATCTTTTTTTTTACAACCTAAATCAGAAGATATATATTGAATAAAGTTTTAACTACACTACTTTAAAATTTAGCTGTGAATATCTGCGTGCTACAGATTTGTTACTTATATCTGATATAGAAGCCGTTTGTAGAGGTAACGCCTCCTTAGAAGGGGAAGATTAAGCTAATGATTTTACAGGCTTATTTCTCTGTTAAATGTAAGTTGAAATAACCTTACTTATATAGCACTTTAAAAACAGCAGTCAGTGACCAAAGTGCCGGACAAAAATAATGATTGAATTGGATGAATAAGACTCTACGATTTAAGTTAATGAAATGATTCACCTTAGAAATAAAATCCATGTAAAAGTTGCAGCAACAAAATACAACATACACAGCAAGAACAAAAATAAACTGGAAAATATATAATACAAAGTTTTAAGGAAATTTGTATACATTTGTATTGAATTTAAGTTTAATAGAAATGATTTCTTTTATAATCAGGGTCCAGAGTATGAAGACAACAGTGAGTAGGTCTGGAGATATTTTGAGCAAGGTCAATTCAGTCTAGGATAACATAAAATTCTACAATGAGGCTATCACTTTCAGTGTCAACATGAATGCTAGAATCACTCCATTATTTATGATATATAAATCCAAAATTACTTTAATAAAAACAACAAACCTTTCTCTCCTTGCATCTGAATGGCTTCCTCTCTGATTTCAAAATACTGGAATAATATTTGCTTTTGAAATTAAGAAACAACAAGAAAAACACTATCTTATTGTAAGTGCGTAATATTCTTTTATGTTATTTGGGTGAACATCTTTTGACCTGCTCAAATTGAGTAGCCTGGGTGCCATTCCGAACTTAGTCCACAACGTTTGAGGTCGGGAAGTTCGGTCTGGCATTGCTCGCCCAATATCTGATTGGGCCAATCAAATTGTCAGGGCGGGCTTTATACGATGATGGACAGATGATTATCAGTAACGTAATTAACCACGTCACCAAAGCGCGCTTGGGTGACAACAACAATGGCTGCCGCTGGAGAGTTGAGGTGTGTAGATTCTGCTATTAGGTCTGTTCTAGAAGATATCGACAGCAAATTAATTTTAAAAGAGGAACAGAGAAACACGATCAAGGCATTTGTTGAAAAGAAAGATGTTTTTGGCGTCCTTCCTACGGGATTCGGCAAAAGTTTAATTTATCAGCTGGCTCTCTTGGTCGCTTAACATACGTCACGCACTCCGTTGCTCTTATTGGTTGTAGGTCTATCCAATTGAGTGCAGAGGCATTTTTTTTCCTGGTTCGTTCGAAACACACCCCATAATCACAGCTCTATAGAGCAGTATCAGACTTATATTCTGACTAGAATTGAGTAGGACTATGTCAGGCTACAAATTGAGGGCAAATGCGCTTATTTTAAGACATTTTAACTTTTTATCAAATCAGTTTTTGTAGTGTGTAACCAGTCTCTACTTGATGTAACTGAATCTCTCTCCCTCTCTCCTCAGTCGCTCGGCTTCCAGGACCCCTGCTGACAACTGACTTCCTCTTTGTTCTCTGATGTTTTGTATGAACTCACTTTGTTGTGTAGCAGCTCTGTGATTATTGGTTATTAATTAGTGATTATTGATTATTGGTTTCTGATCCGCCTGTTTTGGTTTGTCAGCAGTTTTCTTCCTGCAATGATCTGTAATAAAGGTTTACCATTCAAACCTGTGTTAGTGTTTTTTTTGCCTTCTGGGTCAACATATCAAATAAATTTGGAGAGCTGAAGGATCAGCTTAAATCTTGTGACTGTTGAAGCTCCGCCCCTTGAGCTGTTGCATTTCTTAGCATCTGAGAGTTTTGATCCTTTACAACAAGAAGATGGAGGACTCATCACCCAACAACAACTCCTCACTGAAAGAGCTTTTTCAGGCAGGTAAGACAGCCGAGCATTGTCTCCTTGAAACCTTTACCATGGAAACTGGCTGTGTTCTATATGATGATAAACAGCTGATTGGATGTTTGTGATCCAGTCTCTTTTATCGATGAAACCACCATGAATTGAACTTTTAGTTTAATCCAAAGCAGAATGCAGTAGAACCTGAATTAGTTGATGCATGTGTTTTATAGACCACTGCTTTACATAGACCTGTGAAATAGGGAACTTGGTTGCTATGGGGCCAATTCAGTCTACCAGTTTTACTCTGTAAACCAACAGAACCTTGGACCTGTTAATCTGCTCCATGTTGCTGGTCATCTGACCGATTAGCTCAATGGTTAAGTAAGAAGTTGATCTGAGAACAAAACAAAAATTTTTGTGCCATTTGTTCAGGGTTCTTGCACATGGTTTATCATCATCATATAGATTGTTTTTTGAGCTGCATCAGCTGACAGCAGATCGATCAGGAGAGCAGTTTTTTTTCATCATGAAGGAGGCTTGGGAAAGTTCCCCCAGGCCAAATATCTCCTGGAAATTATGTTGGTTTTAATTAGTTTTAACTTCATTCATCTGTAGCTGTTATTAATGCGGACTATGGTGCACATCCTTAGGTCTCAAGAAATAAGATATCAGGTCTCAGGAATAAACTTATAAGCTCTTATGTATTCTCAGGAAATGCTGGAACACTTCTTAATTTCAGTGAAATTTTGACCAACCACACAGATATTTGAGTTTAACAAAGCTACAGTCTCATTAATAAAACATGCAGCATTTCTTTGTTTCCCATGATTTATGCTGGACTGGTAATTGGATGAAGATGGCTGCAAAAATAATGATTAAAACTTATATATTAAGCTTTATATGGCCCAAAATCAAATTTTAATGTTTTAGGTCAAATGTAGCTTTGTTAAACTTGAATATCTGCTCCTTTCCTGAGACCTGAACACTTTTTCGTTGAGGGCTGAGAACTTTTTTGTGTAACCTGAGACCTGCTCTATGAGAACTCAGGATGTCCAAAAATGTACTTCTTTGGTGATGCTAAATATTTCTACAAGTGCAGGAAGAACGGGAATGCTGCTGTGTAATGGAATATCACAGTTTCTCAGGGGAGTGCACCACTGCCTCGAAGAGTGAGTGGACATGATGATTAAAGGGAGCATTATACCGAGAGACTAATATCTCAGAATAGAAAGTGGACAGAGAGGTTCTGTCACTAAGAGGCCATTGTCTGAGTTTATGGGTCCTACACTTCATGTTAAACTGGAATAAGGAGAACCAGACTAGATCTGACTTTTTCTACTTTCTGATGAAACTTCTATGAAAAAATAAACTGTTTGCACCAAATTGGTTGCTGGTACTTATAATTCCAGAGACTCATCTGAGTTCTGCTCTGACTAGAACATTATAGCTCTTCTTGAACTAAACTGAGTGCCAGGTACTTCAGGGTAATATCCAGTCAGTCATATCAAGCTGTTGATTACTTTTCCATCATCACCTATAATGCTAAGCAATTGACATGTTTTCCTGTACTTTTTGCAGCAGTAGAGCTCATCCACTGGAGGGAACCCAAGAAGTCCATGGCAGCGTTCATTTTGTCCCTGATTGTCCTTGTATCCGTGGCGACACTGTCAGTCATCAGTGTGTTTTCCTACTTGTTGCTTGCTTGCCTCTGCGTCACAATCACCTTCAGGTTTGTGGGGTTCAGTTAAAAGTAGGGACGAAAACAGGGAATTTGTCACCACAGTATCAATACAATAATCTAATTCCTGCTGACAGGGTTTATAAATCTGTGATCCAGGCCATCCAGAAGTCCAACGACGGTCATCCTTTTAGGTAAGTGAAAGAATCGATGGGCCTTCTAGAAACACACCCTTTAAATTTAACCTTTACTCTTTGTCAGGTCTCAGCTGGATCGGGACATCTCAGTGTCCCCAGAGTGGGCCCAGCAGCTGGCCGAGCAGTGCAGGACACACTTGAACTGGTTTAGCATCCAGACCAGAAGACTATTGCTAGTGGAAGACCTGGTGGACTCTCTAAAGGTTGGTCACACCGGCTTGATTGCTAGTTCTTTAGTGCCATCATTGGGTTTTAGCTGGATTCTCTTTCTGTTGCAGCTGGCTGCAGTCATGTGGCTAATGACGTACATTGGTGCAGTGTTTAACGGTGTCACCATACTAATTCTTGGTGAGCTGTTTTAGTTCTGTTTACCTTCTTTTTGCTGATCATGAAGCTAACATGTGGCTGGTTGTCACTGTAGTCAAAGTGGATCCAGTTTTCTTACTAACATTGACGCTTGATTAATAAATCTACTTACAGATATTATTAAAGTGACCTTCAACCTTCCTTAGGCCTCCAGGATTCTTATCCAATCACTTTTAGAGCATCACTCTCTGGCCCCACACTGTCCTCAAAATATGGTCACTTTAGGTTACCAGTAGTACTTTAGTCCATTCACAGAGTTACATTTCTGTGTCTGCAGCTGATGTCATCTTCTTCACCACGCCTCTGATCTACCAAAAGAAGAAGGTACTGCCCAGATAAACCCTCCTTCATGTCTGCAGTAATTGCTGCAGCCAATGCTATGCTTATTGCATTATTCTACAATGTGTTTAGGTTAAAGGGGTCATAGAATGATTATATAGGGTATTTGGAGCTGGTCTTTAAGGTCTCTGAATAGGGTATGTAACATTGGTTGGGCTGAAAATGGCATATTTGCTGTTCTATGAGCCCTAATGCAAGCCTAGTTATAAGCCCTAAGATGAAATTACAGGTTTTCTTCCTTTTATGGTATGCTCATGAATATTTAGATAAGCTCTGCGCTGATTGGTTGGTTTACAACGTGCAAAGCTGCTGAGCAAAGACGCATCATAGCAACAAGCACTCACTTACTGAAACATCGAAATTGTTGATATGGTAGGTTGACCAGTCGTCCTCCTCTCAATTTACCAGTGGGTCTACGTTCCTACCCTTACCTACGGTCATGAAATCTGGATCATGACCAAAAGAATAATATCTTGGATACAAGCAGCTGAAAAGAGCTTCCTTTGCAGGGCGGCCATGTACTCCCTTAGAGATAGGGTAAGGAGCTCGGTCATCTGGGTGAAGGGAAGCTTCTGCTCTACATCGGGTCAGCTCAGGCAGTTTAGACCTCTGTGTAGCATGTCTCCTGGAATGTAGGATGTCTCCTTCCTGGCCTCAGCCTCTCATCAGAGAGCTGGGGAGGTGTTTTGGGAAAGAGAAAAGTGGAAGTCTCTGCTGAGTGCTGGTCCTAGATAAGTGGAAGATGACAAGTTTGAGTAAAGATACAGGCTAGATTTTTAACTGCCTGTGGAGTACCAGCTACACTCTATGCTGTATTTTTTTCCCCACCCAGACAAGCTCAGACTAAAAGTAAATGCAGCTTCCTCCCCAGTACGGCTTCACCACCACTATACGCCACATTTTGCACAGAAGAAAAGACTTTAGAGGTTCTTCTTCTACTGTTCCATAGAAACATGACGGTTGTTTAAAAACAAGTCAGGGAACCAAAGCGTGTTTACAGATGACTCTGGTGCAAAAGAACAAATGACGATCCATTAGGTCCTGGTTTTCTGAGACAGTCAGTTAATTTTTATCTGAACAGAAATCTTGCCTTGTTCCATTTGTCTTCAGATACTTGACTCACTCAGGTTAGCTATCAGTCCTTGAAAGCATCTCAGGGTTGACTGCAGTAATACTATTCAGAACAATTCTGAGGACTCAATGCAACTTTATTATGTTCACACCTGTTAAAACATGATTGCATCGCTCAGGAAGCAAGTCAGCAGTGCCGGCTGAACAGTAGACCTGAGTATTAGAACCAAACCATTACCCAGCAAGAAGAAGACCTATTTTTTCTCACTGGAGTATCTCTGTTTTCTCAGAGTCAGATCGATCGACATGTGGAGCTACTCCGATCCAACGTAGAGAAGATTCTAGAGAGGTGAGTCCAGTTTCATTGTCTAGATCAGGCGTCCCCAAAGTTGGACCTCTAGGGCCACTGTCCTGCAGGTTTTAGAGGTTTCCCTGCTCCAGCACAGCTGATTTACATTGATAGTTGATTAACAGGATTCTGCTGAACTGCAATCATCACAATCAGCTGTGCTAAAGCAGAGAAACCTCTAAAACCTGCAGGACAGCAGCCCTCGAGGACCAACTTTGGTGATATCTGGTCTAGATGATCATCAGCTGGTTTCCTTTTTCATGGTAAGGCCATGACTGATAGTGTCCCCTGATTCAGACTGCAGGACAGGCTACCTGGAGCTGTAAGGAGGACCAAAGCTGAGTGACACCTGAGAATCATCTCTCTTCATAGGAATAGTCCAGTTCTCAGTTAATCCTAAATAAAGAGTTCTGATTAAAAAAAATGCTCTGTTGTTTTTATTATGCTAAAGATACAAGAAGACAAATGTTGATAACAGATTCTTCAGTTAAACTTGGGGTTCTGTACAGTTCACTCTTAGCCCCAAAGTTCACATAAGTACCATTTTCTGGGTTAGAAAACTTCTGAAAGAAATGCCTGTCAACAACCAGCTAATCAGAACAGGATTCCTTTTTTCAACATTGAGGATTTTGACAAACCTATACAGAAACTAGATTCTATGAATATTTAAATCCATTAGCTTTTAGTAAATGTGGAAGTAAATGCTTGAAAGCATACAACTCTGCAAGTCATTTCAAACAGGGTCAGCCAGCCAACAAACAGAATCTTGATGGAAAATCTGGAAGATTACCTGCAGCCTTGGGGCAGAAACATCAGGGTAGACGGCTAAAAACAACGGCGGGCTGTTCTCAGAGCAAATGATAGGAGTGTACCTCCTGGAAATATAGGAATTCTTCTACTAAACAGGTTTTGCTCCATTTCAACATGACACAGACATAGCACAGTATTTCTTTCTAAACAGTTTTCTATAGCGCTTCCAGTGAAGAAGTCAGCCACTTGACCACAAAGTTTAAGGTAGTGCTGCTGTAGATGACATTAGAGGTTTTTGCCACAATGAAGACACAGATATGGTAATCCATGTCTGTACCCTGGTGTCTGATATCTCAGAGAGTACTCCATCTAATTAAATTCACTTTATTTATGGAACACCAAAGCACAACACATTATGTCAAGGTACTTTACAGAGCCATTTCAATCAAATCAACCAGACAGACGATTTGACCAGCTACAGCCCTGAGCTCAGGTCCAACAGAAACCTGAAGCTGCCTAATGACCACAATAATAAAAAACTGTCGACATCATAGGAGTTTTCTGCACCACTATGGCTGCGCTTTCAATTAAGCTCATATATTAAATATTGTCCTATCAGTTTCCCAGCATGCCCTCTAGGTGTCACTGACGAGCAAATACCTGAACAGCTTTTTTAACAGGCTTGGATGGACCGATTGCTTGTGCTGCTGTAACAGCCATTATGTCTTTCAGGAGGTATTTAATTAAAATACATTTTAATACAAAAATCCAACCAGCCAATGGCACGAACAGTTCCACTCCGGTTCCGCCCACTCCATGGCAATGAAACTGCACTCATCAAAACCACAGATGACCGCCTCATGGCATCTGACTCTGGATTACTCATCCTCCTCGACCTGATACCATTTGTCACACCACCCTCCTTAGCAGGCTTTCCTCCACTGGCATCACCATCATTCTTTGGACTGGTTTGCTTTGGACAAGATCCTCAAATCTCCACCCTCACTTCAGGTGTTTCCCAGGGCTCTATCCTGGGGCCCCTCTTCTTCCTCGTCTACCTCGTTCCCCTCTGCAATATCTTCCTCAAATTTAACTTCCACTGCTATGCCGACGACGCCCAGCTCTACCGCACCATGAAACTATCTTCCTCTCTCCCGCCCACCTCCCTTGCAGATTGCATCTCTAAAACAAAACAAAACTTCCTTAATTTAAACAGTAGCAAGACAAGTTCTCTTTGTTGGCACTAAATCAAGTCTGTCTAAAAATGACAGCTTCCCACTTTGTAATATCTCAATCCCGTATCAAAAAAATTACCCGGTCTGCCTATTTTCCACTTACGAGTCGTCGCCATACTTGTCCACAGCCTTGTCACCTCCGACTGGACTATTGCAACTATGCCCTCTTTGGCCTTCCTCAAAAAATCACTCTTTAAACTTTAACCGATTCATATATCCACTACATCACCCAGATACCAAAAGCTTCACTGGCTCCACTACAGTTCTACATTCAATATAAACTTCTCCGGTCCATCCCTTTCGCCCGTCTCACTAACACGGGGAACAGAGCATTCAGCTGCTCTGCTCCCTCCTCTGGAATGCTCTACTTAGAAACACTAGCTACGTTTACATGCGCAAAATTTCCCCGATCCGATCCAAACCTTGGTTGATCGGAAATTCAAAATCTCAGTTTACATGGACACTAAATGAAATGATCCGATCATGACGTGTGTATACATGTACCAAGCGTTGGATCAGATTAAATCTTTTAAGCATGCGCAGAACTTCCTGCCAAACTTGGCAGTTCTGTCTGCGTCTGGTTTTTGGGAGGCCTGACAAACGATGCGCTCGGAGCGAGCGGAAAGAAAAACGGAGAGAGGAGGAAAAAAGCGCTTGGCAGCGAAATGTACGAGAGAAAATGTAGAGAATGAGCGATTGAACCGGCGTGGGAGAGCGAGTGGGCTGTGGAGAGAGAAAAGAGGAAGAGGAGGAGGATAAATTCCTGCTTCCTGCAGCTTTAAATGAACTTGAGTGTATAAGTCGGCGTTCCTAGACTCCCCCCGCCATGTTGTTCACAACAAGAGCGAGAGCGACCGGTGGTTTCCTGTTGTTGACAAGGCGGAAAAACGTCACGCTGACGTCGCACACATGCGCAGTGAAGATTATTTTACTCTTAAGATCCGAATGGGTGTTTACATGGACGCCAATCGGAATGGCGATCGGCAAAAACCACCTCTCTCATTCGGAATTAAATTTAGATCCGATCGGACCGAATCGGATTAGAATCTTCAGTCTGACATGTTTACATGAAACATTTTTGATCTGATCAGGCCTTCAATCCGATTAGTTGTGTCCATGTAAACGTAGCTACTGACTCACTTCTCCATTTTAAATTACATTTCAAAACTTGTCTGTTTAAGACTGCCTATTCCATTTGATGTCAATTTCCCTGTCCCAGCTTGCTGGTGAAGATTCTCGGTTAAAAGTTAAAAAAAACAATCCACTTTGTGGATTAGAAAAAATGCAAATTGAACCGGAAAAACAGGTGTACTCCTTAGAAATGGGAAGTCGTTGTTGGCCTGCAATACCGGATACTGGCCTATGCCACTTAAATGGATGTCGTTAGGATGACAGTGGCGTTGGATGTAGGAGTTTGCCCTGAAATCGAAGGATTGACGGTTCAAGCCCCGACTCCGACTTTCAGTGTCGTTGTGTCTTTGGGCAAGACACTTCACCTGCATCATCTACTGATGGTGGTCAGAGGGCATTGTGGCTACAATGTAGCTTGCCACCATCAGTGTGTGAGTGTGTGCGTGAATGGGTGAATGAATGTAGTGTAAAGCGCTTTGCTCACGTCTCCTGACTTGAATAAAGGCGCTATATAAGTACATGCCATTTACCATTTATTGTTCGAATTGAAAAAGCTTCCTGGATGGAAAGTGAAAAGTCTTCAAACTTACAAAATGAAGTCCAGTGGTTTGTTTTTTTAACTTTTCTGTCCTTGCTTTTGTATCTTTTAAAACAGTCCTTATTCTTTTTTTTTTCTTTTCTTTTTGACATTGCTGTTTTTTTTGTTTTTTTAGGTTTTTATAGTAAAGTGGGTACAAGGGGGGAGTGGAGAGACATGCATCAAAGGACCACAGGCCGGATTTAAGCCCAGTTAGGCGACGTCAACTAAGGCCTCCATACATGGGTTTTGCGCGGTAACCACTCGAGACATTGATGTGTTTTATCATCTTTTCCACGGTGACCGTCAGGGTTCAGAAAGGCACATTCCAAATAAAATGCATTATTATTTTGGCCCAGCATGAACTAAAGATCAAATATAATGAAGTCAACTAAATATGTTGGATTTGGGTAGCTGCAAGGTCAATCGTGCTGCTACTAGAACCAGTGTAAAACACAGACCTGAGCCAGAGACCACGGGAGGGCAGTCTACCAGTGTTGAATGGAGACTGTTGTTATTCTCACAGGGAATGAAGGGGTGGGGGGGTCATGGGACTCTGTTTGCTTCTCCTGAAACACGTGAGTCATGAGAAGGAAGAAGAAGCAGGGATTGAGAAAAGAAGACATGGAGGAATTATCTCGCTGTATGAGGGAGGCAATCTGCTGGCTGAGGAGCTGCTGCTGTGGTGAGGAGGAAGAGGAGGACAAGGAGGTGAAGCAGTGGAGGGAAAAGGATGGTGGACCAGAGGAGGAGGAGGGCGAAAGTCCAAGGAGCTGCAGGAGCTGGACTTCCATCCCATCTTCTGGGGTACCGGTTTCACTCATCCAGTCTTTCAGATTCAATTTTGAAAAACAAAATTCTTAACTTCCACTCAGATGGTTCCTAAATCTTTTTTTAGCGTTTCGGTTGTCTCATAAAATTTGTCTTTATTCCTAACTTCAAGGATCCATTTGGTCATTGTTAACTTTGTCTGCAGACAACAACAAGTAATCTGTTTGTCCTTTAAAAAGACTCAAAATATCCAAAGTGGTACCAAGTCTGTTCAGTGGCTTTAAGGCTGGATCCAAAAACATTTGGGCCCATGTTTGCAAAGAATCCTCAGCCTATAAGTACCTCTTAAGGATGCCATTTTAGAAACAATATTAGAATTTCATACATATTTTCTTGAATTTGACCTTAGTTTTTTTTTTTTTTTCACAAATCCCCTCAGGTCTTGAGAGAACTTAAGTGAACAAAAATTAGAACAGAATGACCTTTAAAGAGTGTCTGAAGCAGCGAAGATAGAGGGAACAAAGAGCTGATTGGCTGATCCTCCATTTAAATATGGAGTGATTTTTGATTCGTGAGTGAGGGAATAGGAACTGTTAAATATTTATTAGAAGTTACTGTTTTTTTTTTAATATTTAACCAAATTAAATTAACATAACCTTAGATGTCCAGAATAACAGTATAATAACATATTCATAGCCATACCTCAGCCGTTAAATTATTAATTATTAATTGAGATCACTGTGTTTAAATTCATGACATATACATAATAATTATCTGTATGGTTTAATAATTAATATGTCAGTAAAACCCTTTCTATTCAGTTATTATAAATACGGACATGGTATAGAAAAAATACCAAAGTTAGTAAGTGATCTTCAATAAAACTCACTGTAAATGTATTAAATGGCCAATTTCTCCACCGTAAAAAAAAAAAAAAAAAAAAAACAGTTTAAACTAAGA